CCGATTGTAATCCGCGACTACTTTCCCCAATTGTAATCCGCGATTACTTTCCCCAATTGTATTCCGCGATTACTTTCCCCAATTGTAATTGGCGATTACTTTCTCAAATTGCAATCGGCAACTTCTTTCCCCAATTGTAATCCGCGATTACTTTCCTCAACTGTAATCCGCGAATACTCTCCGCAATTGTATTCCGCGATTGCTTTCTCCAATTGTAGTCCGCGATTGCTTTCCTCAATTGTAATCCGCGATTACTTTCCCCCATTGTTATCCGCGATTACCGGGAATACTTTCCCCAATTGTAATCCGCGATTACTTTCCGCAACTCCAATCCGCGATTGCGCTCCCCAATTGTAATAGGCGATTACCTTCTGCAAGTCCAATCCGCGACTGCGCTCCCCAATTGTAATAGGCGATTACTTTTCCCAAGTGTAATCCGCGATTACTTTCCCCAATTGTAATCCGTTTTTTTTCCCCAGTTGTAACCCACGATTACTTTCCCCAGTTGTAATCCGCGATTACTTTCCCCAATTGTAATCCGCGATTACTTTCCCCAAGTGTAATCCGCGATTACTTTCCACAACTCCAATCCGCGGTTACTTTCCCCAAGCTGAAATACGCGAATACTTTCCCCAATTGTAATTCGCGATTTCTTTCCCGAATTGTAATCCGCGATGACTTTCCCCACTTGTAATCCGCGATTACTTTCCCCAATTGTAATCCAAGATTACTTTCCCCAATTCTAATCCGCGATTACTTCCCCCAATTGTAGTGCGCGATTACTTTCCCCAATTGTGATCCGCGATTACTTTCCTCAATTGTAATCCGCGACTGCTTTCCCCAATTGTACTCCGCGAGTACTTTCCCCAAGTGTAATCCGCGATTACTTTCCCCAATTGTAATCCGCGATTACTTTCCCCAAGTGTATCCGCGATTACTTTCCCCGATTGTAATCTGCGATTACTTTCTCCAATTTTAATCCGCGAGTACTTTCCCCAGTTGGAATCCGCGATTACTTTCCCCAATTGTAATCTGCGATTACTTTCTCCAGTTGTAATCCGCGATTACTTTCCCCAATTGTAATCCGCGATTTCTTTCCCGAATTGTGATCCGCGATTACTTTCCCCAATTGTAATCCGCGGTTACTTTCCCCAATTGTAACCCGCGATTGCTTTCCCCAATTGTAATCCGCGATTGCTTTTCCGAGATTTGTAATCGGCGATTACTTTCCTCAATTGTAATCCGCGATTACTTTCCCCAATTGCAATCCGCGATTACTTTCCCCAATTGTAACCCGCGATTGCTTTCCCCAATTGTAATCGGCACTTACTTTCCCCAATTGTAATCCGCTACTTTCCCCAATTGTAATCCGGCAATTACTTTCTGCAATTGTAATCGGCGAATATAATCCGCGATTACTTTCCCCAATTGTAATCCGCGATGTCTTTCCGCAATTCTAATCCGCGATTACTTTCTCCAGTTGTCATCGGCGAATACTTTCCCCGATTGTAATCCGCGATTACTTTCCCCAATTGTAATCCGCAATTACTTTCCCCAATTGTAATGCGCGATTACTTTTCATACAAAAGCGCCTGCTCGAATCAGCAGGCGTTGCGTTATTGGAGCGTATCACTGTGGCCATAAGAGATCTCCGTCGCAAGCAGATAATGTTTCCACACTTGCTGAAGTTACACAGGACTGAGGATGTTTTTGCAGAAGCTTCGGGAATCACCATGGGGGTGCTGGGCTTCAACGCGCAACTCGTTTGCTGCTTGGTGCAAATACGTTTGGTGCAAGAGGCGGCACGCGTCTCCACGCTCATTTTTCCCTATTCCTTGGAAGTGTGGCAGATTTTGCCGGGCACGGAAGGTTTCCCGATTTCCTTGCAAGAGGGTATGGCGCAGGAGTGCAGGAGGTCCGGTGGAGTAGCAGGAGGCTTTCCAGGCTGGCAGCTTTCCTCTAATTGAGGGCTCTTATGCTTGAAACCAAAATCCTGCCTGCAGGACAGTTTGAGTGTTTTTTGGCTCCGACTTCAGCCATTAAGCGCGTTGGCGCCCGAGACACGCTTGCGGGCTATGGCCGCACACAGGAAGCGCTCCAAGAGACAGAGCTGCTCGGGACATGGCTGGTTTGCGACTGTGGGCAAGCGTTCGGACCAGGCGCAAAGGCGAGAACCGGGACTCTGTGCGGTAAGTCATAGCTCACGTTGACCAAGGCTTCCGACAGATGCTCGCGTTTGCTAGACTGCTGGTCCGGTTTGCCGCTTGGGGCATTCATTCTACAGGCGGCTAGTGTGCGCAGGATTCATTGAAATGTGGATGAAGGAACCGGCCTGCGTTCCAGTGTTCCTTGCACCGGCGCGCTGTTTGTGGAACTGTCGCTTTTTCTTATCTTATGACTCCCAGCAAATTTGGAATCACGGTGACTCGCGCAAACTTGGCGCGCCGGCTCTATCAAAGACACCGACCCACGTCAAAAAAGCCGAACCACAGCATGTTGGCCAAATAGCCGAAGGCGTGTGCGTTTGCGCGCGGATTCAAGTGCGGTAAAGCCAACTATTTGCTATGCTTGGCTGTTTGCCCGCCTCTTGCAAGAAACGGTCGTCGCAGCAATTTGCAAAACATGGGCTGTTGACACGTCCCAGTTGAAAAGATATTGCTCCACCTTTGATGCGCATCTAAAAGTAGTGCGCTGCGCACTCTGCATCTTGGCTTTTTGCTTTCGACGCGGTGTTTCGAATCGCTGGTCGTTGCTTGCCGGCAACACTCCTTCCGCAGCCATCGCCTTTGACTTGTGTTTGGTAGTTCTTGCGTATCGTCGTGCGAGGTGCCCGCCAGCCGACGTTGGCGCCCCCCGTTCACGTCCTTGCGCTTCCAGCTCTGGGCGCGCCGCTTTTCTGGGAGAAGACAAAGCTGCGTGTGTTTCACCTTTGCGGCCACCGTTTCTCAAGCGGGGGTTCAACAAAATAACAGACCACAGCTTGGGCCAACTGCACACACAGGGCGCAGGGTTAGTGGCACGCTGCAAGTGCGCAACTGTGCACCCAGGCCAGGTTCCACGGCTTGGGCATTTGGGCTTCAGTGGGAAAACGCGTGCAATCGTCCAGCAATTTCAAATCGCCCCTGCCCCTACCTTTAATTGTTTGAAAACCACCTCTTATTTGTCAAAAAGCTTGGGGCTGTGATGAACCTTTCTGACACAATGAAGCGTTGGGCAAGGTTTTGGATTGAGAAATACTCACAAAGGACAACATGTTCGGGCCAAAGCATCGGGAAAACTCTTGGAAAAGGGCCAATCCCAGTAGCGGAGATTTGATGAGATTTGGATGGTCGCTCTTTTGGACCATCCAAACAGACTAAATTATTGAATTCATGCATCGCCTTCTCTTCCATAGGACACAGTGGGATGGGAGCCTGGAATGTTGTCCCATCCACTCTGCTTTGCGTGCCAAGGGACGATATCGATGGCAGTCCGTGATGCACCCGGAATTCCCTGTAAAACCATGAGAAGCCACTTGCTCCCGGCACAATGAGAGCAAGATTCAGCCATTCCGGTGGTGAGTTGCGATTCCAAGTACCAGAAAGACTTTTCAAGGCTCTGTCACAGACTGAACATCTAAACATCTCGCGGATTCGTTCAAAGCTAGAAGGAACAGGCGCACACTCTTTACAAGTCTACGGTGATTGCGCGGATTTCTGACGCGCCATGTGCGGCTCTCGTGCCAAACTTCCATGCATGCATGCATGCAGCAGCAACTTGCAGAGCGCAGGAGTGCATTGTCAACGGTTGAAGGCAACATCGCCGGAGCGCTTGTGCCCAACAAAAAACAAACAAGCAAGTCTTTCCACTCATGAATTTGGCGAGCGCTTGCGCATGCGTGAAGGACGCCTCAGCCCAGGCAACCTTGTTGCCTTAAGGAAAACGTACAACACACTCCGCAACATGTGCTTGGGCCCAAATTGTGGGTTTCAAGCGTTCATCCGTTTTGAGCATTGCCGCCGTTGCGGCCTGCTCATCAGCGATGCTTGAATCCATCTGACACTTGCGATTCTACACCTGTGCAAAGGCTCAGCGCTAGGAACAGCAAAGTTTGACGGATTTACCATGTTGCTGCAACTTAACCTGAGCCAACAAATACTGAACAAAAGCGACTTTGGGAAACACAGACTGACGCTTTCAGGTACAAAACAAAGCATCAAGAGTGACCATCGGAACATAGCACCAGGACCAATCCGATACAAGCTTACAGGGACATCGCAATTCTATGGCAGCCGGAACAATGGACTGCCTTGGACCATGTTGCTCCCCCCAACCGTCACTCTGCAAAGAAACCTCAGGAACTTGTGCGAAATGAATGCTCAGGGCGGTGGAATCAGCGTCGGTCACCTTCTAGTGAGCCGCCGCAATTCTTGTTGAGGCAACTCTGGATGTCTTGTTCGCCCGCAAGCCTCTTCGTCCGGCTCATCAGCAGCAAGGGCTGTCCACTGCTCGGACAAGTCTTCTGCCAGCAAGGCCTGGGCGGACATAGCTAGGCACCACCACCTTGATGAGCGTTGCTACAACGATTGCGATGTCCCACAACTACTAGCGCTTTGATGCTTTGATGCTTTCGTTTGTGAAAGCAGGTAGACAAAAACAAATGTGATTCGGGTCCCGAATCCCGAGCCCCCAAGTCGCGAATCCCGAATCCCGCCTGGCGACTGGCTGGCGTGCCTGGGATCATGCCGGCTTTCTCGAAGGGATTCTCTCCTGCAGAGCGCGAGTTTGTCTTGGGCGCGGAAAAGCAGTGTCTGAACGCCTGAGTTCGAGGAACTCGAGGAGCTCGACATGGCGCTGGATGCCGTGTGTTGCGACGTGTCAGGATTCGGAGCCCAAACTAGGGCCAGAAGAAAGCAAAAGCAGGAAACCGGATTCAGTTGAAATTCCCCAAGAGGACGTGCGCGTCAGAAATTCAGCCTTGGCAGCACATTTTGCTCGATAGCTTCAAAACTTCCAAGCTGTCACTTCACCTCCATGAACTTTTTGGTGATTCCATACCTGAGTTGCATGCGACTCCAACACATGTACATGAATTCCTGCCTGGCCTCAGCTCCAAGAAAGCGCCCAACTCCTGATCAACCTAAGGTACTGTCGAGTGTGTCAGGCAGAAGGCATTTCGGTGCGGCCCAGCCGCGTGACCCTGGAGTTGCAGCATCTTCTCCTTGACCTGTCGTCTGTCGACATCTGTCGACTCTCGTCCGCCCGGCTTTCGGAATTTCGGCGCTTTCGGCGCTTTCGCTCGGGTCTCGGCGTTCTTCCCGGGCATCTCCTCGATGTAGACCGTGCAGTTCAACTTCCTCTTCAGCTCATCTCCCAGGGCCCTAAGAAAGATGGAAAGATGGGAAAGAACAAAAGAAGAAAGAGAAGAAAGAGAAGAATGGGAAGAATGAGAAAAAAAGAAAAAGAGAAAAAGAAAGAAAGGAGCTAAAGGAGCTAAAGGAGCTAAAGGAGCTAAAGGAGCTAAAGGAGCTAAGTCGAGAAAAAGTGAGGCTGGCTTTCGGACTCACTCGTACTTGGGTTGCGGCTCCGGATCAAGGCCGTAGGCTTCGAGGTTGCAGATGCGCGTCACGTTGTGGGCACCTTTCCTGGACCTCACGAAATACCGAAACAAAAATCAAAACGAAAGAAACGATAGAAAGACGAGACACGGAGAGACCTCTCCGAACTCGTACACTCTCTCGTACCCTCTGGCTGCTTTGGAACAAAAACCGTTTTGCGGTGTTCATTTTCTTTGTACGCTCGAGTTCCACCTGAGCGGGAGACAAGCTCACGGCAATGTTCAGAGGAGGGCCCTTCCTCGTGATTGGCCCCACACCGGCCACGTCTATCGTGGTGTACCTCAAGTCCAAAGCTTTGCAAGGCTCAGCCCGGGTCCGGGCTGTCCAGGCTGTCTGGGCTGTCCCTAGTCCTTCCGGGTCTGCGGCTGGTGCAGCCGATCTTCGAGCTTCTCTTCGACCTCTTCGGCGTCCACCTATGAAACTCTTAGTAACTCTCGATCACTCGATCGGCTCGATCGGCTCGCACTCTCGCGCACTCTCGCGCACTCTCGCGCACTGGCCTCCTCCGGCCACTCTTGGTCCTTCTTCTGGCCCCCTGCCTGAAAACGGACGGCAAGGCGTGCCATGCCTGACGAGTCAAGGCTGCTGCGGTCTTCCACAAACCATTCAGCAAGCCCTCGTTCATTTTGATGTGCCTGGGTTCAGCGTCCTTTCTTTTGAAGCCTCACTCTCTAAGGCTGGAGCCCGTCCGGCTTGCGAAGGCTCTCCTGTGTTGAACGCCGGACACAGAACCCATTGCGATGCACCAATCTCCTGCTCAATGTAGCTGAAGACCACATTTCTGGCCTTGTGACAGCGCTGTTCATTTGAAGCAGGTGACCACACAAAGCCTCATCCCAAGTGTAGAGGTCATCTTTCTTCTTCCCCATCGCCTTGCCACAAGCGAGAATAATTTACCAGCCCTTTTTGCGTGGCGCTTGCCTTCCAGATCGCTTCCAGGTAATGCGTGGGCTTCCACCTCGCCGATCTAATCTAGGCTAGCGAGCGCCGTATCTCCGAAGGCCGGCACATGGCCGTCACTTTGGGCGGCGGGAGCCCTAAGCGAGCGGCAGACTTCGGAGCTTGGGCCATTGCATGCTGCATTAATTCCAAAAAGAAAGATCAAACTCGGACTTCGCTCCTGTCGCTGCTGGTGCCGCAGCTGCGGGCGCCGCGGCGGCTGCGGTCATCTCGTCCGCCTTTCTCTGACCCATACCCATATGGGACAAGATGGACAAGTCAAAATTGAAGCAGAAAACAGAACTTCCTCAAAAAGTATAAGGTCTATTCAATTACTCTTAATCCATTTAGCACCATCTATCTTTAGCATTTAGTGGAGCATTTCTTGTTTCAAAGGTACTATTAATACCTTTTTATTTCATCAATGTGTCACGTATCGTTCCTACTGCTAGGCTGCAACGCACCCCTATTCTTTTTCCTCCCTCATCATTCATAGTCTGCACTGCCCGTGCCTGTCACAACCCTCATCACCTGAGGGATAATGCTTTGGATTTCCATGCATCTCCTGCATGGACTGTGCTTAGAGGGGGCCACCGGTTAACTCCGGTTGGGATGCCTCTAACATCCTTAAAAGTTCCCCCATGCACTTCGACTCCCAAAGCGCTACAGAAAGCTTGTTATCGCGAGCACGGCACGAAATGGCAACCTCCATATGATGGGGAAACAAAAGGCGGTAGACATTGAGAAATCATTCTGGCGGACCCGTGGGCCCTGCCAGCCCAAACGGGAAATTGCATCTGACCAATTGGACACTCCCCGCCGATTGCGGAATGTGTCCGGCCGGCAGAGTAGGGCGTACAACACCATGGACAGTTCCAGTTGAGCAATCTTTCGGTCCCCCGGGGTCCATAGCTTGTAAAGCTCAAGTGGGATGTCAGCAACAAAGGCTTCCCGTCGCTCGGTGAAGCCGTTGGTCCACACCATCAGGAAACCTCCCGTCCCCTGACGTGGGCTCTCCAAAGCTGCATCCGAAGCAATCACAAACCGCTCACACGGCGCCGGCAAAACTTGCAGCACTCGGCGTGGCTGGGTGGCAAACACTGCTTCGAACAATTCGAGGCTCGCCTTGATAGGCTCAGTCAGCTCAGATGATCTTTCGGCCTGCCGCATCTTGATGGAGCCCAGTCCCCCGCATCCCACGCGGCCGTGGACGCCCATCTCCAAGCCAAGCCATAGATCTTAGCCGCGAGCCCAGGCGCTAACCTCTCCTCCTTCTGGATCATCCCGGCCATCTTCTCGTGCAGCCGCTCCCGAGCCCAGAAGGACACTACACCGCCGTGCAAGGCGCCACAAAGGTCATGGTCAAGCCCATAGGCTGCTTCTTGTCCTCGGAGAAGGGTGCCGAGCAGCCGATTCAGCTCTTCCAGCGCCCATTGGCCGGACCCTTCGGCGGATCGCCAATCCGTGATGTGAGCATCATCGAAATAGAACGACACCAGGAGGACCAAAAGGCGCCTGGCAGAGTACCGGTTGAAACTGGTGACGGCCAACGGCAAGCTCAAGAGCAAACCAGCGTACCGCTGAAACGCAGGCGTCCCCCAGCCTTCATGCCAAAAGCACACAATGCATCCTCTCGCCTCCTCACTGTTCATGGGGGAGTGGCGATATGCATCTGGCCAATCCTCCCCGCCCGACTCCGACGAGTCACCCTCGCGGGCCGAGCGAAGCTGGCCCTCGTCCATCCGCTGCATCACCGCCGCAATGTGCTGAGCTGGTCGTAGCGGTGAACAGAGGACTAATTTATTGGAGTCCGAGGAGAGGAGGGATTGTCCCCCTGTGTCTGCGTTGTCAGTCAAGGACTCTTTGTTTGCCTGAGGACTGTGTGATGACACACCTGGGTATGAGTCGGAACTCCTGACCCTGGAGCTCTCGCTGCAACTCAGAAAGGGACATCGGGGCGGTGAAAAACCCGCGATCAGCGTCCTTCTGCGATTGCTCCAGCAAGAAGGTGTCATCCTTACCCGGACGCAGGCTGGCGAGCACGAGACGATTGCTCTTGCCCGGCCTCCGTGACCTCCTCAAAGGTGATCCTACGGGCATCCTGCTGCGGGAAAACGCCGTAGTGAGGGGCGAAGCCGACCGCTGGCAAGCCCACCACTGGCCGATCAGCCGCCGATGGCCGAGCCGGGCCGGGCGAAGCCGGGTCCTCCACCATCACCACTTTCCTATCCCGGCAAACGCCCGCCGGGTGCTTTCCACCGCATGCACTCCCTGTCAACCGGATGCACGCGCAAAGGTGCGCAAACTCGCACACGCGCTCCCCGGGACACTCGCCCTTCTGGAACGCTGGGCAGAGCCTCTTGCCATCACGCATGACAGCTGTCAAGCGCCGGCCGTTGAGCGCGGCCGGCGTCGTAGCTGCTGGCCTGGCTGCATCCGCCTTGGCTTTGGCGATCCGCTTGAGCTTCTGCGTCAGGGCAAACCGCTTCTGAAGCTTTTTGGGGCGTGGAGGGGCCGCCCACACCACCTGGGCCTCACGCGCCTTAGCCTGGGCCGCCGCCGCCTGGCCCGCTTGGGCCGCATTATGCACCTCTGCCGGCGGGACCAACTCCCAGGATTTGTGGTGGGTTAGAACTGCCGCCGCCCCCACCATCCTATGCTTGGCCAACAGGGACGCCGCATACTTGGCCCCGCTGTAGTGCAACGGCATGCGCGCATCCTCCGGGATATCGCGGCCAGTCGCCCAGGGCTGCCATGTCGAGGGCGCTGAACCCAACCAGCTGACCCACGGTCGTGCCAACCCGCCGGAAAGAGTACAACGATATCATCGCCGGGTTCTCCACCAGGTCCGCAAATTCGCGCCGGGCCATCCGGTAGACGTCGGACAGCGACCACGGGATCCGCCTTCTGCTTCTCCGGCACCAGGGCGAAGTCGTGAAGCCAGGCCGCCGACCAGTCCCACCCGTCGACAGCACGGCCCAGGCACGCAAAAGTCGAAGCCTTTGCGCCGCCGCTGCTTCCCCTTGCCGCAGTGCGCGTGGACCGTCGACACGGTGACCTTCCGCACCTCTGCCCGAGTGAGATGCTTGTGGCGAAGAACGCCTCCATACAGCAGCCACGCCGCCTGCCAGCGATCGTCACCCTGCGTGTAGAGCTCCTCCATCCTCTGCTCCATCTTCAGCAGCATCGCCGGCTCCACCACTGCTGCCTGCCCTGTGGGCCCCGCCCGCCGCGCCTGTCCCGCAGGCGGTACGAGCATGCTGAGCCCCAGGTCCACCCTCGCCTGCTTGGTCAACCAGCGTAGCGATTGGGTGGCTCGGGCCGGTGCAGCTGTGCCTTCGTGGAGGAACACATCAAGGTCGACCAATTGTGGTGGCAGTGGTCGAGAGCGTGCCTGCATGAAGGTGATCACCTCACCCCACGTGTGCAGGGCATTCAGCACCGTGGCCCTTTCCGCCGAAGCTGCTCCGTCAGGGCTCCCGTCGGCTTCATTGCTCCCATGCCCTGCAGTGCCTCGCTAAGCCGCTGGACCTGCATCGTGATCGTTTGCGGCTCGTCTTGAACTGCTCGAAGTCGTACCGTCGGGGCCCTCGAAGGTCGAGGGGCCAGAGGCCGAAACGGAAGGTGGACAGCCGTCCCACGGCTCTCACCCTCCACCACATCGGCTGCGGCTGCAGCTCGGACTGCTGCTCACTCCGAATCAGCACCCACGCATTGGCCAGGTCCCTGCCACCGGTCGCCAGCGCCTCCTTGAAGGAGTGGAAGGCGAACGCAAAGTCCGCATCGCTCTGCAGCCCATGCTCGCGCCTCCGAAACCAGGGCCGACTCCGGATCCCACTGCCCCCCGCCGTCCCCCGCCAGCCGAGCGTAGATCCCGGTCGGTACAGCCGCCATTGCGCTAAGGATCCCCCAGAAAAACCAAATGGCTGAAGCATTCCTCGCAGATTGGCCGTTCCTGAACGACGTGCCGTGCGAGGGCCCCACAACGCATGCAGGGGGGGGGGGGAAAAACTCGCGAAGCCAGCAAGTCACTGGTTCAGAGCCTTCCCGGCCCACGCTGTGGCCCCATCGCGACTCTCCCAGTCGCCGGAGGGGATTGGCTCATATGCCGGCTCTCTCCAAGAGTCGCGGCCTTCCTGCCACCTCCTCCAAGCCCAGAAGACAGCATCCCGGTCGAGGCCACAATCCTCAAGGCCGGCCAACTCCACATAGCCGATGAAGCGTGCCATGTGGTCGGGTACCAGCTGCGGCACTCGCATGCCCGAATCAAGGGCCCGAAGCTGATCCTCCGCCAAGTAGTCCCGGCCCGCATAGTAAAGGTCCCAAGCGTCCGCCGGGCCCACATCTTCTTGAACCAAGACTGCGCGTTTGGTCCATGTCCCGAGCCACGGGAACTGGAACCCCCCACGCTGCTCTGTGCACCTAGCACACCCTGCCGCCGCGCAGGGGACCTCGCAACAAACCCAGGGTGTGAATACGGAATTCAGAAACCTCGGTTGGGGGATAGCGCGCAACCGCCACGACGGCCTTCCACAGCCGGACGGCCTGGTCCCGTTCCCCACGGGCCAACAGTCCTGCCAGGTGGGCCTCGAAGTCCAAGAGGGCCGCCGGGTGCAGCATCCGCGCCTGAGAATGGGCCACCAAGGGGCCTAAATCAGCGCCAGACATACCAGAGTCCCACTCCAGTTGCAAATGAAAACCGAAACCAAAAAGGTGTCTGCCAGTTTGGCTCAGTCTTGATCCAAAATTGCAGACCCATAACAATTGATGATACATGTTCACCCAATGCCTGCCAAGCTCTAAACATGGCATAGCTATTGCCTTTATACTATTGGTTCTGAATCAGGCTATTTGCCTGAATCAATCATCCCATAAATAATATACCAATAAAATGAACGGTTCGATCTGACCAATCTAGACAATGGATCTGCGCTGAGTCAGCGGCAAACTTTGCCTCCAATGCTGCAAAGACCTTATGGCCCCTGTCCTTGGCGCAAGTTGTGAAATCACGAGCCGGTTTACAACTTGCCAAGGCCGCGGCAACTTTTGACACGCTGACTACACCCTTCTTCTCTGTCACGTCAATCGCTTTGGATTTCCGCATCGCATTCAGATACTTGCCAATCTGCTTGTGAGACCTTGGCGTATGAATCGTATGGATCGTGTGGACTTGTGGGTTGGTTGGTGGCTCGGGGCTGCCACGACTTTTTCACATCTAGAGTGGTTCCTTCAGGCCTAAGCTGAAGCGCGTGAAACATAGGGGAAGAGAAGACACAAAATTCGCCTCGCTGGCTTCATGTGCTTCTCATAGAGCTCCGAAGCTTCAATGGGAAGCGCCTCTCTCGGAATCTCCCATGTTGCATGGCGCGATATGTCGCGCGATGTGGCGCCTTGTCGTCAGAAAGGCTCTGCTTTAACGCCTGAAGGAAGGTGAAATCCAGGAGGTCATCTTGCCTGCCAGGTTCTCTGGAAGTTCCAGCACTATGCCATGCAATGCACACCATGCATCTCTGCGAATTTTGGGCCGAAGGCGCGTCCAGTCGGCTGCTGCCTCGACTTGGACACAGCACGACGGCTGCGGCTAGCTGAGCATCTCTGAGCATATCTGAGCATCCAGCTTTGCCACTGCCTGCAATGGCAAACGGCTAGTGCTCACGCCCCCGAAAGTAGCTTGGCCTGCCGCAGGCTTTTCAGCTGGGGCACTTTCTGCAGGTGCCTCACCTCCCAAAGCAAACATTTCACTTGAACTCTATGGCAGCTATGGCAGCTATGGCAGCTATGGTAGCTATGGCCTGCCGAAGCCTCAGACCTCGTGCCATCCCATGTCCCGTTGGCTCAAGTCAAGTCTTGGCGGCGCGCGACGCGCCGGGCTTCCACTTGCAGTCCCCGCAAGGAAGCACCTGCCACGCTGCCCCGCTGCCCCACTGCCCCGCTGCCCCGCTGCCCCGCTGCCCCGCTGCCCCGCTGCCCCTCCCGCTGCCCCGGCATGCGACACATCGGGGATCGGCGCGCCGCCTCCTCCTCCTCGGAGAAACCGGCGTTGGGTTTCGCCTGCCGGTTTACTGCAAGCGCGCGGATCGTCCAAAGCGTCCGAACCGTGCCTTGCACTGGGACCACAGATTGTCCTTGTAGACATGGAGGACCTAGCCGCATGAGGTGCCAGCTGGACTGCTGAAGCCATGCACCATGCCTCCATTCCTTTTCCCTTCAGCCTTCGGGTTTTACACATTTAATGACCCAAGGGCTTAATTTCATGCTAAGGATGGGTCTTCTCCATCTGGGTCTGGTTCACAAGCATCCGCCCGACGGCAATGGCGTAGGGGTTGCCATCGATCTTGATACACCGAGGCCTCAGGACTTGCAAAAGAAAAGCTTCAAAGATTTCTCAGACACTAAAGACACTAAAACTCTTCTCAGACACAGCGATTTCTCTCTTCCGAGAATTGACATAAAGAAAGGAAGAAGAATAAGAAGAGGAGAAAGTGGACTTCCCGACTTCGAGTCATTCCTTCGAATGAATCGAGTGCGTCGAACCGCCGGGCGGCTGTCCCTTGGTCACAGTCCCAAAGCCAGCGACCCCATTGGCCGGCACCTCGATGCGCACTTCAAATCGGAATTTGGGGGACCCAATCGGAAAGCCGGAATCCGTTTTCTGGAATCCGCAGTCTGACTTTCCGAAACACAAAAAAGAACAAGTTTCAAGGAAGTCGAAGCCTGACAAAAATGAATTCGGATTTTCGAAATCTTTGAAACTGTCTGAGTCTTGAAACTCTTCTTTTTGCAAAACAGTGGAAAAAGCAGGCACGTGTCAAGCCTCTTGCACATCGCAAGTCGCATCATTTCGTGCGGCTTGGGAGCCAGGACCCCCGGAAGCATCAGGTCTGCGCCGTTCAGCACAAACTTGGACCTGGCGTTGGCAAAAAAGAAAGCTCTTCCACCAAGGCTTCGAGCTTTGCGCCCGGCACAGGCGGGTGGATCGTCAGCTCTTGCATGATGTGCCTTCGGATTCAATGTCTTCAAAGAACAAAAATGCTTCTGAAAGAACTTGGTGCCTGACGGAAACTGCCAAAGGGTGTACAAGGTCGGGTACAGCCTGTGTGGCCACGAGGCCGCGAGGCTCTGAGATCTCGCAGCTGAGTGTCAGGCTCGCTTCTGCCTTCTGCATCAAAAAAGCTGGCAGGCGCATCCCCGCATGAGTACAGCAAGCTTCGGTTGTCCAGCTTCACTACCTGCGTCAGGAGAAAGGGACACTGGGAGAGTTTTCCGGCCTGAAAAAATATCATATCCTGCGGCGCGAAAACGCAGTGCCGAGAACGCGTGCGCCTTCGCTTGCCCCTCAGGTAAAATCTCATCCAAGATCTTCTCTGTAAGGCTCGGATATAGCTCGCATAGCTGACCTACAAGATATCAAATCCGTGGGAGCTTGACGCACCTCGCTGGCACCTTTCAAAGCCTTCAGATCCTTTTTCGATAGAAGATTCTGCCCTTGGGCGATGTACCTCAGCAAACAGATCTAGGCCAGCAGCTCAGCAGCTCAGCTGCCGCTAAGACCATCACGCCTTTTTGAACATGTGAACTCGCTGCGCCTCGGAGCGATATGTCAGTGCAGTCCATTTGAGTCCATACGGGGCTTGGACAAAAGGTGAATGGTCATGAAAGTGGAACTTGAGCCAAATGCCATGAGTCCAAATCGACAACATGTTCACAACCCCTCAGCATTGGCCCTAGCTCTTTCTGGCGGCGACGTTGAGGGAAAGCAACCCATGTTCAGAGGGCGAGCAAAGGAAGCCTGAAATCGGCCCATAAGCCAGCGAAAGCTTCAATGATGTCCCAGCCTGAGCAGCTTACAACGCAAAAATAAGCACATCTAGAACATACATTTTACATCTGTACACATTCAGCCCCATGCACTTTGGCTCAATCCGGTCTGCCTTTCACTTCCTGCGAGGGGTGGAGCCTAGGCGAAACGAAACGGCGAAATGCCGTTTAAGCGTTTTGCCAGGCTCTCGCTTAACGTGATGTTCAGGAAGACTTGCTCCACTGTGGTGTCACCGCTCTCCTCGCGCCTCGCCCTCACGAGAAAGCCCAGAAAGCCCCAGAAACGAGCCCCAAAGCGAGCCCCAAAGCGAGCCTTCGCAGCCCCAGTGAGACAACGTCACCAGGGACCTAAGCAAGTCGGCAAAGAGTCAGCTCGCATCAGCTCGCAATGCATAAGCATTCCCAAGCTTAAGAGTCGGCTTGAGTCGGCTTCAGGGCAGGGCGTGCTTATCCAACAGCCGGAAGATGTCGGTTCCACTCTTGATCGGGGTGGAGTCCAGTGCGGTAATGGCATCTCCGATGGTTCCGTTCAGCATGGGCCGCACGCCCGCACGCTCTGCAGGGCTGTTCGGAACCACGGAGAAAACCACCACGCCAGGAATTTGGAGTGCATCAGAAATGGCATCTGGAGCCTGGCAGCTGCATGATTAGCTGTTTCCGACTGTTTCCCGTGCCTTCCCCTTACGCCTGACATCTGTTTGCCAAGCAGCAAAGGTGATGCCCAAGAAGCCTCTGGCGACAAAGCCCTGCTTCCTTACAGCCACGGCGCATGCGTCTGCATGCGTCTGCAAGTCACCCAAGCCACCCTTAGCCACTCTTAGTTAGCCTTAGCCGTGCTACAAAATCAGATCCACGTTCTTCTTGACCGTGTCCACTGGAATGGCCAGGCCGACGCCTGCTGAGGTGCCGCTGGCCGTGAGTATGGCAGTGTTCACGCCGATCACGCGACCAGTGGCATCCAGAAGAGGGCCACCAGAGTTGCCTGTCGTTCCACGCAACGAAAGCTATGCGTTCCTTCGGCTCAGTCGGCTCATGTGAGAAGTCCTGGATTGATGGACGCATCTGTCTGGATGCAGCCCTGAATGGGCCTAGCAGGCTGGCAGCACGTGACAACTGTTAAGCGATTCTGGGCCTCTCCCCAATGTCCAGAGTTCTGGACTTTCCAGAGATGATGCCCTTGCTCCTTGGCAGGATGTTTGAGTTGCGTGACCCCCGATGCAGATTCCGCAGATTCCGCTTCCGCAGATTCCCGGTTCCGAATAAACACTTGGCAAGGTGCATGCTGTGGTCGAGCCCAAAGGGGTTCCCGATGGCAAAGACGCTTTGCCCCACCTCCAAGCTGGAGGACTTCCCGAGTGGCAGCGGCCGCATGGGGACCAGCCGCTTTCCGACCGGCGGATACACCTTGACCACGGCAGTGTCTGTGAAGGGATCGGTTCCTACCAGTTCGCCCTTCAGCACTTCGCGCGTGGGCATATCGTCTTTGACTGACGTGTCTAGGAATACGATCTGGATATCTTGAGGCCCGATATCCCTCACCACGTGATAATTCCTCGTGCGGCGTGCAGTCACGACGCCACTTGATACATGCAAGGTGAATTGCCAGCAAGCCGAGGGTCGTGACAACGTGCGACTCATCCCACACCTGCCAGGCAAGATTCCGGCAAAAAAGGCGCCACACACACAAGATCAACGAAGACACACACACACACACAACAAGTAAAGAGCAAGCAGACAACGTAACATACCAAAGCAGAAACACAGACACAACATAGACAGGAGCAGACAAAGAGCAAACAAGAACAGAACGGCAGACAGACAGACAAACAGACAGGCAAACAGCCAGCCAACAACCAGCCAGCCAGCTAGCTAGCCAGCCAGGACAGACAGACAGCCTCAAGGGCAGACAGGCAGGCAGGCAGGCAGAGGGGTTGGAAGCATACTCATCTACAGTTGAGGTGTGCGTTAACAGCAGGTTAAACACCACTAAGTCAAATGTTTGAGTTCCCAGAACGTAGGAGAGGGAGTGCGTGTGTGTGTGTGTGTGTGCGCGCGTGTGTGTCTGTTGTTTTAGATACGTTTGGGTGTCAAGCTTGCGTTTCTCTTCATTGCTTGCGTCTTTAAGTTTTGGCATATCAGCATGTCGCGCTTAGCTTTCTATGTTGTTTTGAATTTGTTCTCTTCTCTCTCTCTCTCTCTGTGTATGTTGTTTCTCTCCGTTCTTTTACTTGCTTCTTGCTTTCTTTCTTTCTTCCTTTTTTCTTCGACTGCCTGCCTGCCTGCCTACTCGTTTGTCTGTCTGCCTGCCTGCTCATCGGTCTGTATGCCTACATGCTCGTTGCCTGTGTAAACGGCGTCATCACGGTTTTGTCAGCATCATGATGATACCACAGCCACGCACTATATGCGCTACATGTAAGCACAAGCCCGGTCCTGATAAATTCAACAGCATCATGATGATGTTGGCGGCATCATGATGACACTACAACAATTACGCTCTACGTAAACCACAGGCAGCGTCTTCCTGAACTCAACGGCATCATGAGGATTTTGGCATCATGATGAACCATTATGCACTACATACGTCTAAGCACAAACAGCGTCTTGCAATGATTTTAACAGCAGCATGCTGAATTCTGCAGCATCGCGATGACATTACAGCCACAAACTGTTGTGCCCTAAGCAGAAGCACAAACAGCACCTTCATGAAATCAACAGCACCATGATGGTTTTGGCAGCAAACCAATACGTGCTACATACACACAAACAGCCGACAGCGTCTCAATGAAGTCAACAATGATTTCGGCAGTATCATAATGATGCCAGCCACGAACCATTATCCGCTACATCATGATGACACCGCAGTCACAAACCATTTTAAGCTGCACATAAGTACAGACCGTGCCTGAATGAAACGAACAGCCAGTATCATGATGATTTTCTCCGCATCCTGACGATACCACAGCCACAAGCCACTATGCAATACAAAAAAGGCACAATCAGCGTCTTAATGATTTCAGCCAGCATCATGATGATGTTGACAGCATTGGGGAAAAGTCAAGCTTCTTACTCACCGCCGTATTGAATATGGAGCCGAATTCCATATGCGCCCATACACATCAATTATGTTCATTCTGTGCATTGTTGTTTGAGTTTGCGCGTTTCTGCTTTTGTTCAGGTTTTTCGAATTTTAGCGTTGTTGTTGGCTGTTTGAATCTTCTCGCGTTGTGAGGTGTCACTTCTTTTGGGTTTTCTCGCTCGTGCGTCTCATGATATCTCTCAGTTCTGTAGATTTCCTCGTTTTCTTTGCGCAACAATACGCACATTAACGTCGATACATACTAATGCGAAGCTTTTCGGACAGGATGTGGGCTGTGGTCTCCCACGTTTCTCTATTCGAATATTCTGTTTACACTCTACTCGGCATAATACATTTTGCACGTGCATTGTGCTTGATATCTTTTGTTGCCATTGAATTTTGCCCGTCTGAGCTGAGGCGCGAAGCCGCTGCCCAGGGACGGCGGTAGGCCGTCCTCTGCGGGCCGGCGCCGCTCGCCCGGGCGCAGGCTCCGGGAGACGGACACGACCCCAGGGGTGGCGTCGCGAAACACCTGGGGAAGGACTGGGAAACCCACTGAACAAAAATTCAGAAACAATCTGTTCAATATACATATCCGCATATGTCAAAACTTTGACCGGCGCCCAATCTTCCAAGTGATCTGGGCCTGCGCGGCAGATCGTTCCTCGCTGGTCCGCGCTTCCGCCCAAGCCGGCGCAGCTCGCGCCAAGCCGGCCTACACGCGAGCCGAAACGAGTGCCGGCACCAAGTCACCAAGTTTCAGAGCCACGAAGGGCACGAAGGAGCACGACAGGCCTGCACTAGGCCTTGGACAACTCGCCGCCGGGGCCCAGACCTCACCGAACAGTCAGCTGTCGGGCAAGTCGGGCAAGTCGGGCAAGTCGGGATCGGGTCCACATGCAGCCCGGATGCGCAGAGAAGGTGCATGATCGTGCCTCAAGGTCTACTTTTCTTCGCACGCTTTGCAAGCTTGCAAGCAAGCTGCAGCCAGAACCAGAGCCAGCGCGCCCCAACGGCCACATCTCCGTCGCATGTCCAATGATTGAAACTAGGCTGTCGGGTGAGGGTATACGTCTCTACGCTGCCACGTGCTCTCTGGGCGCCCTGAAGCTTCACGCTTCGGCGTAAGTTCAAAGCTACCTTTCGAGCCAAACGTGCTGTATCGCACTTGCGTGTGTGAAGGGAGCACGCGCCGGATTTTACACCCCGAACTCCGCTCTCACGAAGTCCCGCGTCTGGGAGCATAAGAACCACCCAGTGCTCTCTGGCTGGTTCAGGGCATACCCATAGTAGTAAGTGTCCTCACGAAGCGATGCAGGTGGCGAATCGATTTGGGCCGGACACGAGAACTTGACAAAGCAAATCAAGCTGCGCTCGTCCGAGAATCCACTAAGTGGGTAGCAACCAGGACGGTCTCCGCTGCAGCGCGAAGATATCCAGAACTAGGATCGCCCTGTATTTCTTCGCTAGCCTCGCCGTGCGCAGCAGGAAGCAGCTCAGTAGCTCAGCATGAATGCAACGGCGATATGCAGCTCGGAGGCTGTGCGAAAGCACGGAGGCTTGCCGCAAGCTGGCTCGACCTCCAAAGATCGCGAGTCGGGCTGAAAGACTCTCAGACTCCAGCCTTCAACTTCAGCGACTTCAGCCTGGCTACTTCGGCTTTCAGTTCTTCTTCTGCAAGCCTCGGTGGATCCGATCGGCGTTTGACTCGTGAAAAAAATGGTGCATCCAGGAAACCTGCGCTCCTCAAGCTCTCCCTCCAGCTCCTTTGCTGCATTTGCTTTTCCGCTTGACATTCCGTTGTCCATGCGACATACGCGACCCTTCCGTCCCGGACGTCATCCAGACGTCCCGTCTCAGCCAAGGCTCGGCCAGCCTCTGCCCGGCGGCGCTCAGCTCCTCCTCAAACGAGTGCAAACGAGTGACGAGTCCATCCGACAAGCGGGACAAGCGTCCAAGCATCGAGCCAGAAGCGATCCGTTCCTTGGCTTTCTTCAAGTCCTCGGTCTCTGAGAAGAAGGTGCTGAGCAGTTGGTTTTCCAGCCTGGAAAAGGCGCTGGACATTGACAAAGGCGAAATGGAAAGCACAAGAGGCCGGGACTGGAAGCTGCGCAATCTCGCTTGCGCCAGGTCTTTCAAGACCTTGTGCTTATCCTAGCCAACATTCGAGTGCGAAATGGACTCGACTTCCGGAAGCCTCGTCCGGCGCCGACATAGGCACTCATCCCACAAGACACAGAGAAGCACCCTCCGAATGGACAGTCATGCGTTCCGCAGTTTCACCGAAACAGCCCACAACCAAAACCTCTGAGCACATTCTCGCCAAACACATCTTGGAGTTCTGGCATGTTGACTCAGCCTGCGCGTCAAACCTAGAAAAGGCTGCGACGTTGCATCACTTCTCATGGTTTGCGTGGGGAAGCGGCAACTCAAAGCTTCGGAAGTCGGACGGCAACGGGCTTCCAGGTTAAACGCACCCATCTTTTTAGTCCAAAGCTTGCAGCAATCCCGGCAAATTCACAGAGGTATGTGCATCTCAAAGCTGAAGACATGCCGCATGTGGATGTTGTTTTTTGCGGGGTACGGAAACCCAAAATCAAAAACACCATTTTGGGGGTACAGTACCCTCAAAAAACACAAACACTCACACACACACACACACCTTTACGCCTTTCTCATTCAAATATCTTGGAAATGCACAGGCCTCATGCCCCCGCCCCAGTTGGCAAAATGCCATCTACCGTCCGGTTCAGCACAAGATTATCCTTGTGCCCATGGTGTCTACATCACCGAAGCTGAATGTATGTCAACCAGCTTCTTCGCAATGCACCGAATTCGGATTCGCTGGTGTCGTGCAAGCCAAGAGCTGCACCAGTTGCAGTTGCTCCCAGTCCTCCGTCCCGGCCTTCTCGATCTTGGGCATCAGGCGAAGCAACTGCGTGCAAACCAAGGAGTACATCAGGCAGTCCGGGTAAAGCCAGTCCAAAAGGAGCCACGTGACGGGCAAGGCTTGGTCCAGTGCGGTCGCCTCCTTGTCGTGGCATGCAACGCATGCCATGCACTTGCCATATGCACTTGCCATATGCACTGATGCTGGGCCACGTTGCTTTGCTCATCTCACACTGAGGGCGTGCAGCCAAGGCTCTGTCTCCAAAGCTGAGGCGAGATGGTTGATCCAGCGTGCTCGCTCCCAAAGCAGCAAGCCAGCACTCCAGGGTGCTGGGAGCCAAATGGGCCACAGGATCACCTCAGGGACCGTCCCAACGTAATCTCTGTCGCTGACGTGAAGCTGAAGCTGGGTTCCCGGCCAAAACCCACGAGTTGTGAGGAAGCCAGATCTGCAATGCGGCCAGGCAGGCAGACAAAGCGAAGTTGCACGCGTGCGACATCGGCAAAGCCGACTCGACCGACTCGACCGAGCACCCGCTCTGAAGAGCCAATGGCTGCGGATCAAGTCCAAGCGGAAACCCCGGATCCGTGTGCATTCCATCCACGGATTCCTCTGACTGGGCCCTTTTTCAACGCCAGAACTCCAAAGCCTGGTTGGAGATGATGCCTGGCCATGAGAGCCATGAGAGCCATGAGAGCCCTGCAAGCCATGCAAGCCATGGTGGCTATGGCCATGCCGAGCTGCTGGATAGGGGCACGGCACTTTGCAGCTGACCGCAAGTATAAACAGCTTCCATAGCCATGCAAAGGCCTCAGGCATTGGGCACGGAACTGCCCCAAAATCCGAATTCCGCGCGTCAAGTCCGGAAGTCCGGAAGTCCGGAAGTCCGGAAGTTCAACATTTCAGCCAGGCGTCTGGGCAAATTCGGGTTGACCCTCGTCTCGGACATGTGCTGCAGCACACCCAGGGCTGCTTGCCATTGGCAGGTGGCCTCCTGAGGCACCGAAAGAGTCGAGCGCTACATATTTAGTTTTGAGTTTGGGTTGGAACTGACAACTTGGCAGGGCTAGTCTTGGCTAAGGGTACTGCACACGACCTCTGGCTTTTAAGCTTCTGTCTTGGGGGGGGGCTATACGTTTGTTGCTGCTGCTTCCAGATTGTAAAGAACACGCACTTCTGGTTGTACTTGCATGTGTTGTCACATGGCTTGGAGTGATCTTGCACCCTAGAGGCGGTTTACACTTTTATTCTGGATGTTTACCAATTCAGGAGCCGCTTTACAGCGTCCTCAGCGGTTTTGCCGGGCATCTGCGGAGCTGTCACTTCTTGATTGCCAGCTTGCGCAACAGACCAGTTTCTGTCGATGCACAAAAGTAATACGTGTTCCTTCCTTGCCTTCGTGCCAGTCTTGTACACATGGAAGGCTCTTTGTCAAGAGCGCTGCGTCAACCACCGCAGTGTGTGTCACGCTCGGATTCAGTTTGTGGAGAAAGACAAGGAACCAAGCGGGGCCAGTTGTTTGATCGGAATGCAAACGGCTGATTGCATGTGGTGTTGCTTTCGCCCGCCGAGTTGCAATGCAATATTTTTTTGCGAAGGCAATGCATGAACACATGCACATTGTCGTCTATATGCACATGTCAATAACTACTTGTAGGGCCGACTCTGGCAAGAAACTGACAATCAAGAAGTGACAGCTCTGAAGATGCAGGACATGCGTGCGGAGACATGCGAGCATCGCATGCGCGGAACCCACTGCGCTGTGTACGGCTCCTGAATTGGTGAAAACCAGAAATTGCTTTCAAAACCGCCTGTGGCAGCAAGGCCCCTCCAAGCCATGTGACAACACATGCAAGCACAACCAGAAGTGCTTGTGACATGTGTAGGTTGCGCAGGTCCGCTCCACGTTCCGTCACCTAATTGTGACCCATGACATGCAGCGTGTGCCTGATGCGTTTTTCCCGCAACCCTCACTCCCAATCTGATCCCGGCGCCCTCCCACTCTGAAGTCCCTCTCATCGCAACCAGGCTTCACATGCACCTATCGCCCCAGTGTACGCGATGAGATTAGCGGCAGTCCTTAATTGAAACACGCATATATGTCGACAAGGAATATGGGAGAAACAAGAATTCATTGAAAAGTCAGGGCTCAGCGAGCTAAGCAAATCGAGAGCACAAAGCCAATGTTGTGCCTGAGCAATTCAATGCGGAACGCGCGGAACGCGCGGAGCGCGCAAGGCCTCAGCCCGGCCTTGGCACAAGCGTTGATCACGCAGCTGTAGGTGATGTCATTCGGCACCGCCTGGCATGCCGTTGGACCAATTGCGGAGAAACAGAACCGAGCAGCGCAAAGCAGCGCAAAGCAGCGCAAAGCAGCGCAAAGCAGCGCAAAGCAGCGCAAAGCAGCGCAAAGCAGCGCAAAGCAGCGCAAAGCAAATCCGTCGCAGGCTTTTGCATTTTAATCTCGTGCCTTGCACTGCTGCATCTCCTCCAAGAGGCTCAGTGCCAACTTCCATTGCGTGAGGCTGCTAATGACTGCCTCGGAAATGAGGTCAGGAAGTCAACACTGAAGTCATGCAGCAAATTTAGCCAAGAATCCGTATAGGTGACTTCGCTCGGCAACAATCCCCGCTCTTTCATGCCTGAGTCTAGTAACTGAACGCATACCCAAATTGTCCAAATTTGAACACTTTGCTGAGGCCCTGTATCAAACTTCACCAAACCAAATCGCCCGAGATTGGACAGATCGGGCATCTCAAAGTGCGACTCACGCGACTCAAGTGGCTTCCCAGTTGCTTTGAAGAAGGCCCAAGGTGAGGCGCCAAAGGTATCCATCAGTTGCGCAGGCGCAGATGGCGGCTGTGTAGCCTCCAGTGCAAGCTGCGTGTATCTGCGTGTGCTTTTCTTCAAGACAAGCACAACACACACAAATGGAATCCATCGATTGTGTCGAACATATGTATACATATATATATATATATATTTGTGTGGTACTCCCCCTCTGGAATACTCAGGTTTTTGGCCAGAAATTGACATGTTGGCTGTAAAAATGCATGCAAAACGCACGTTCCAGCTTCTAACAATGAGGCTCAAAAGCAGCACTGCTTTTTAGACTTAAATTCTAGCATTGGTTAGTGCAATCCAGGATGTGCTAGCACGTGCTTGCGCATCCTGGATCGAAGATTGAAGATTGAAGATGTTCTGACATTTCTTTTTGGGAAAACTTAGGGCAATCCGGGGCGCGCATGTGCTAGCACGTGCTAGCACATCTGGGATTGAAGATTGAAGATTGAAGATTCTCCGGCAACTCTTTCTGAGATTTTTCAATTTTCAATCTTCAATCCAGGATGTGCTAGCACATCCTGGATTGCCTTAAGCACACATTTGAAGAATTCCATAAAGAGTTGTCAGAGAGTCCTCAATCTTCAGCCCAGCATGTTCTAGCACGTACCACATTCTGGATTGCCCTAAGGGCGGATTTGAAGAATCCAAAAAGCAGACAGGGAGCGCACTTCGACACAATCAGATTGTGGATGTGCACTTGCGCTGCCTGCATTTGGGCATGGGGGAAACATGTTGTTTGACACCTTGAAAGTTTGCTTGTGGACTTGAGGGCTGGCCAGGATGGAAGATTCTCAAACAACATAATGTGGCAGATCTTCAAACTCCAAAGCAGGGGCAAAAGCCATACTGAGTCTAGAAGAAACTGTCAAGCTTGTGGGGGGCCAGGATTGTGGTCTCTTGCATTTTCGATTTTCGATCCAGGGCAACACGATCCGTGTTTTACAGCATTTATGCTAAAAATAAGATCTATGTTCAAAAACACTTGTCCGTCGTTGGCTTGGCCCAGTTCTTGCTCGGTTGAAACCACATGGACTTAGATAAGGACAATCACCGTGTTGAAATTGAGTTTGATTCCAAGTTCATCTGGCCATGACAATAGCAATGTTCTCCAAGTTTTGGTCTTTTCGAAACGCGCAAGGAATTGCAAACGATTAAACATGAATTCGAGATGGCTCGAAGGCGTGTTAAATTGCCTATGTTTGATTTTTAACAGTTGTTCTTGACGATGGTTGAACCAGATTAGACAAGCAACCCACAACTGAGATAGTTGCTTTGCAAAAAATGTTTCAATCAGAGATAGTTGCTTTGCAAAAAATGTTTCAATCAGACTGAATGAGAATGTACAAGGAATTATGAACAACACTTGTGTTAACATGTAAATGCGACTGAAACACTTGATATTTCATTTTTGATGTCAGTTGCAAGTAGGAATGAGTTCCTTTTCCCCAAGTTGATGATTTGCTGAATTTCCCGCCAAACAAGAAACACCAAATAACAGAGCTGCTAGGCACGTTGAGGCTGCCAAAGCATAGTTCACGCACTACTCTTGTGCTGAAAAGTTGTGCTTCTTGAGCTGGAGGTGCCAAATTGCACTTTGCATACTCCAATGGGACTTGAAGTGCACTTCGCGCACGCCAATGCGACTTTCGAGCTTTTTAAATAGGAACTCGTATTCAACGTTGAGCTTAACTTCTGCTTGGTTGCAATGTGCATGGAGGTGTGCGTCCTGTCAGTTCACATCCTGGTTTCAAGTCATTTGTCACCCCCAGTCTGCACAAAAAAACAAGTTCTGGCCAAAAACCTGAACATTTCAAGGGGGGTAGCACATACATATATATGTATGTGTCGAACACGGAGTCAAACAGAGTGCGATTCAGGTTCAGCCACGCCACAAACACTATCCGGGCTGGCCTCAGCAACTAGCAAGCTACCAGCCAAGGATGCATGAACACATCTGGACGCGTCATGAACCCGCCTTCTCCTAACAAAGGGAGGCGTGTGGGAAGTGTGGCTGCATGTGGCTGTCAGCATGTCTCGGCATGTTTGGCTTCGGGGGCATATAAGCTTCCTCGCAGACTGGCTTCATGTCTGGCAACCGGTGATGCTGGGGAAATGGTTCATATTGTGATTCTACCAGGGACCCGCTTTCTTCCAAAGGCCGGGCATGGGGACGTTGCCTTCGTTTTGGCGGCAAACGGTCCCGAACTCTCCACAAACGGTCGACTGGGGTGCGACTCTGACGACAGAACCCGTAAATGGACATGGGATCCAAACCCGAAGGCGCGACGTCGGCGGTGGCGTGTGAATCCGGCGCCTGGGGTAGCATGTCGCCGCTATGCTAGCTTTAGCAGGGGCTGCGCCCCTTGGTCGTGCGCTGCCTAAATCCGGCACCTCTGCATCACAAGCTCGGGCTTGCGGTTTTGCTTGAAAACACTCGCAAAACATCGCGTATATGCAGGGTTTAGGCCATGTGGCTGACATCGTCAGGGTCTGGGGTTGGGCCTGGGTGATGCTTCAGCGGGGCTTGGTCTGCATCATCAAGACTTCCTTCCAAAAAGCCTCAACCCGTGAAGCACTGTGTTTTAGAAGGTATCGGGCGGATATAAGCGAGGCTCATTTTTGCGCATTTTGGCGCCAAGCGCTGCCGGGCATGCCAGCGATGCTGGGTTCTCGCTCTACAAAACGCTGTAAATACCGCCAAAAACTGCTGTGCTAAGCGTTGGGCTGTTGCTCTGTCCGCTTTGCTTTTGCTGTGGCCGGCTCGCGTGCTGCGCGGTCCTTGCTTTTTTCGCGTTGGTTTTCGGGCCTTCTGGCGCGCGCGCGCGACCCCAGCCACAAAACGCTGCTATTTTCAGTGCTTTGTTGCATTTGCGTTTCCGGGCTGGCTTGCGGGCTGTTCTTTTTGGGCTGCTGTTTCTGGGGCCTCTGGCGCGCGCGCGCGCGACCCCATGTCAGCCTTCATCATCTGGGGTTGGGGCGGGCAACATGCATAACCTACCAGCCATATCATAGCACAGGATACGTTTCTCATACAAAAAACATGACATGACATGGTATAACTTCAAAGAGGCGTAGCCGGCTAGAGGCCGCAGGCCCAGACAATTTGTACATCCCAATCTTTGCAGAGTGGCAATGGAGTGAAAAAGGTCCAGTGCCAACTGCCACTGCTGGCCCTTGCCAGTGGCGGTCAGAGCAGCGGTGAAAGAGATCTCGTTGGGCGATTCCATCGACTTCAGGAGGCAAAGCACCATCTCCCAACAGCAGCTCTTCTCGCAGGCACTCATGGCAGTGTTGTAGCTCACCACTGTAGCTTGCACCTCTCTCTTGGTTTTCCGGTTCGGGGGATGTGTGGAATGTGCAATGCGGAAAGGAAAGTTTAAACACCTTGCCCAAGACAAGCTTAAAGCACCTCCATCGAGTGCATGTTGTGTAGCAGCGCCAACGCAGTTTGCCATCGTGGGCCACAGGAACTGATGGCCGCATTCACGCTGATGCTATCCGGAGACAGCTGGGCATCCTGAGGCAAAGGGAAACGCTCCCCGCTTCGCTTCATGGCCAACTCTTTGCTTCCAAGCTTCTGGCATGGCTGCAAGCAATTCCAGTGCCATTTGCCACTGACCACCTGAGGCAAAGGGTGGAGAAAGACGGTGCAGAAATGGAGAGAGACCTAAGAGTCTCTAAGAGGGGCCTTTCTCACAGGCGCTGATGGCGGCATTGAAGGCCACCTGGTTCTGCGACGCCTGCGACTTCAGCAGCTGCAGCGCGGCTTGCCACTGGCCGCACTTCTCGCAGGCGCTGATGGCCGCGTTCCGCGAGATCTCGTCCGCCAGGCGCGCCGCTTGCATCCGCCACAGGAGCCGCAGCGCGAGGTGCCACTGCCGGCCCTTCTCCAAGGCGCTCAGCGCCGAGTTGCAGACGATCACGGACCTCGGAAGCGAAGTCGGAAGCGAAGTCGGAAGCGCGTTCGCGGCGCTCTCACCTAGACGTAGGTCTTCCAAGAGGACCAAGGACATCTGCCACTGCTCGCTCTTGGCACAGGCCACCATGAGCGCGCTGTATGTGACGTCGTTGGGGGGGATGCTCCTGTGTAGCATGCGGTGCAACACGTGCGTTGCCGTCTGCCACAAGCCGGCTTGAGCACATACACTGATCACCGAGGTGAAAGAAATCACGTCAGGAGCCAGTCTGCCTGTAGACATCTCGTCTAACAAATGAAGAGACATCTCCCAAGAGCTGCTCTGCTGACAGGAGCTGATGCAGGAGTTGTAAGTGACGACGCCAGGTGACAGTCGCCTGCTCGCTGCTTCACCCATGAGGTAAGTAGCCAGCTGCCATTGTCCTGCCTTGTCACAAACACTGATGGCGGCATTGTAAGTGATCGTGCTTGGCGTGCTCGTTGCCCGCAGAGTTGTGACAGCTTGTTCCCAGAGACCCTGCTGCTCCAAGGAGCTGATCAAGGTGTTCAGGCAGATGAGATCCGGAGACGCGTCGGATGCGTCGGATGCGTCTTGGAAGAGTTTCATCGCGGCCAGCCATTGGCCCGCGGAGGCACAGGCGCTCATCGCGGCGCTCACGCACACGAGGTCCGGCTGCAGCGCGACTTGGGGCATCCGACCGAGCAACGCCAAGGCGCGGTCCCAGTCGAGGCCCTTGAGGGCGGCGCTGTACGCGATCTCGTTGCCCAACTTCGCGTTCTCCATGCGGTCCAACGTGTGCAAAGCCCTCTCCCACTGCTGCGCCCTGCTGCAGGACCGGATCACGGCTCCAAAGGTGACCTCACTCGGCGAGATGAAGATCTGCTGCATGCGCTGCATCAGGCTCACAGCCAGGTCCCAGTCGCTCTTGGAGATCACGATGTTGAAGTGGACCGCATTGACCTCAACCTCGTCGCGGAGGGATTCCAGCAGTCGAGCAGCTTCCTCGCATCCCGCATCCCGTCCCAAATGGAGGCCGTGGCCCCATACGCGTTCCACGCGTTCCACACGTCCCCCCGTCTCTTCCCCGTCCCGCCCCCCACCTGCGGCTCTCGGGTGGCTTTCAGGCGCTTGGCTGCAGCTTGCGAGGCTTGGAAGGCACCCGGAAGGCCTGAGCAAAGCAAAGCGCGTCGCATGCGCCGCAAGCTCTTCTCTCCGATTCTCTCCGATTCTCTCCGATGCTCTCCGAGGCACGGCTCCGCTCCATGGCACGGCTCGATGCTATGGCTGGGAGTCACTCCGGGATTCAAAACGCGGCCAATCAGGAAGCATTCGCGAGCATCACGTTCATGCTTCATGAAAATCCATGAATATCCATGCTTGCCCGTGAGTAATGCTCTGCATGCTCTGCGTATTTCGTTTTCAGTTTTGACCGCCCGTGCTCCAAAGGTCCGCGCCGGAGAATCAGAGACTTCGCAGGCGCTGACCGTCGCGAAAAGCAAGTGCGGTGGTTCGAAGTCACCTGCGATGCCCAAGTGGGGCAAGCTTCGACGGTCACATCAATTGTCAATAGCAAAAGACAAAGTTCAGAGCCGTTCCATGCTAGCAGCTAGCGAGGCCTTGCATCTATGGCTGAAGTGCAATGCGTGTACATTGCTTCATTGCCCGCTTTGCACGGCGCAGTGCGCGGCACAAAACTTCAGAGGGTTTCAGGTCATTGATATTGTACTTATTCTACTTGTTGCTTGGACATCAGCCCTTGCCACAACGAAGCATCACCAGCTTAAGCCCAATTTCGTGTGAGTCAAGCAGCAGCTCCGAGACAACATTCGGAAGGCTCACTTTCTCGTTGCTGAATTCACATCTCGAGCGCTGAAGATTATTCAACTCGCAGAGACCGTTCCAAGTGTTTCTGCCTAAAGACACTAAGTCATTCTTGATCCGGGCCGGCCTAGTAGCCGCGTCGCAAACTTCCAGCGGCTTCCCTGCACGCAAGCGCTCAAGACGCCGCTGCAGCTGCTCTCATCCGGCGAGAGCCGGAGACTCTGCATCCTCGAGTTGGAAGCGTCGGAAGCTCGAAGGCAAGCCGTACGATTTTTGTCCGGCCTATCCCAGGCGCCCAAAGCCAAATTCCAGTGGCCGCTTCTCAAGGCGGTGAGGGCAGCGCCAAAGCTGTATCTGCTGGCCGCCGGGGCCAGCGCAAGCTGTCCTGCAAAGGGCACATGTGGCTCTACAAAGCATCAAAATAAGAAAAGAAAATAAGGTCAGGTGATATCCCCAACAGCATGTCCTGCTCATTTTAGTGCTCGCAGCACCCCGCAGCCCTCACAGAACCCCTGAAACCCTGGTGGAACCCTTGGTGGAACCCTTGATGGAACCCACCCTCGAACCTTACCTCAGGGCCGCCCCGGACCACCGAGCCTATCTGGGCTGAGACCCCAAAGCTTGCTGGGGAAAAACAGACGCGCTCTTGTCTGATCCAAAAACAAAAAAGCAAAAGGCAAAAGGCAAAAGCCGCTGACCAAGTCCCGTCTCGGCTCCTTTGTGGCAGGCGGCGATGGCCGCGTTGAAGGCGCCCGAATCCGAGAACGACATGGCACCCAGCAGCTGAACTGCCGGCCTCAACTGCGAACCGAAGACGCACCAAAACAAAAACGGCGCAGAAACAAGGACTGACAAACACCTGGGTGTGTTTTCTGCCTCCGGACATGCTGTTGGTCATTTGATTAGGAATATTGAAAAGCTTTGGGCGTTTTTCCCATGTCTAGTGTTGATGAATCCGAGTTTTCTGATGTTGCGTCGTTCTTTGGGGGGTCCGATTCCAAAAAAAAACATGGACAAACCGGGTGGTATTGCATATCCAACATCGTTGTGTTTCTTCATGATTGCATCTCCAATGTGTATGAAAATGCATTTATGCAAATTGAATGTGTCACAAAAACGAAACGAAATCGTTCCGAGCATATGTTCAAGAGAATTGCCATGGACTGATTCTCTGAAGGCAATTCAAAGGATCCGTTCAATGTGTACATGCATCTGTAAATGAATTTGAGTCAACTCGAACGGGATGTGGGATGCGGATTTCCGGGCTCGAGGCGTCACTGCACCTTTGGAATCGTACACTCTTGGATCGTGACGCTTCCGAGCCACCGCCAACGGGAACATTTCTCGCAAGCGCTCATGGCTGCGTTGTAGGTGATCTGGTCGGTGGACGCCTGGCAGCGAGCAGCCAGAGGCAGCGAGAGACCGTGAGCGCTTCCCGCCTGGCACTGGCCCATGAGGGACATGAGGCGCAAGGCGAGCTGCCACTGGCGGCCCTTCTCGCAAGCACTGATCGCCGCACCATAGCTGATGGCGCCGCTTTCCTCCGTTTGCGTCCGACTGTCGCGTGTTTTGACGAGTTTCTTCGACTTCGACACTTCGACTTTGCTTGACTCATTTCGACATTTAGACATTTCGAGGCAAGCTTCGGCATTGAGAAGGGCGAGGGATCGCTCCCAGTGGGAGCACTTCTCGCAGGCGCTGATTGAAGCGCCCACGGAGACCCCGTCAGCGGAACGGCCTCTCCAAAAAGCCTCATCCGCTTTTTGGATGAGGCGCGGAATGGGAAATGCAGCACACATTGTACAATAAATACATGATGTATCATCTCATTACACCAACGCAGTATACAGCATGATGTCATGTCTGCGACGCCAAGGTGCAGTGCCGCATCTGGCAGAGGATCTTGATGGCCAGAGCCCATTGCAGGCTCTTTTCGCATGCGCTGAGGGCAGCGTTCAGGGCAATCTGCTTTGCTGCGATCTGAGCGGATTGACGGACTCGGAAACCAAGACGGCAAGACGGGACCCAAAACACCCAATAACATCAATAACATCAATGGATCCCCGCCCTCTCCTTTGTTGCGTGGAACCTGTCGAGGATGTTGGTCGCCCAGCGCCACTGCGATGACTTCTCGCTGGCACTGACGCAAGCGCTGTAGCCTGGCAATCCAAACACTTCACAACTCCAGGTCGGCGAGCAAGTGAAAAAGGTGAGAACAAAATGAGTTGAGAAATGCCTTGTGCGTTCAAGCGTCTAATCTCGTCAGGCCACTGCTGAACCATGGGCATGCAAAAAAGCCTGGCCAGGGCCCGCTGCCAACGCTCGCAGCTCAGCGCCGTGTTGAAGGCGAAGACGTCGGAGCGGATTTGAAGTCTCTGCATCTCCAGCAGCATCTCCACAGATTCCCAGCGTGTCGCGCAGGCCAAAGCCGCGGCCGTCAAGGTCACCTTGCCGGGCTTCGGCCTAGCGGCGCTCATGTGGTCCATGAGCTGAAGACTGGATTCCCAGGGCAAAAGGTCCATGGCCGCGTTGAAGACCACCTCGTCCGCTCTGTCCGTTCCGTCCGTTCCGGCTCTCGTTCCGTCCGTACGCAAGACCTGCAGCGATGCTTCCCACTCCCTGGACATGAGCGCGGCCCGCGTCCAGGCGTCCGGGTGGCGCCGCCACTCGGCCATGGAGATCAGCAACGCCCCAGAGGCCGGCCAAATGTTCTTCACGGCCGAGTTGCAGCTGATCTGATTCGGCCTCGTCTTCTCGGCCAAGAGATGCCAGTACCGTAAAGCCAAGCCCCACGAGCTGAGGCTCATGCAGCCCGTGAAAACGACCTCGTCCGGGATCAAACCGCTGACGAAGGCCAGGCCGCGCTGCCAGCGGCTCAACGCCCCACAGGCCGCCAAGGCCCCGCTGCAGCTCACCGCGTCTGGCTGCAGCCGCCAACTTCTCATCAACACGAAGAGCTCCAAAGCGAGCTCCCACTGCCCACCCTTCAGGACAGCGTCCAGGGCCGAGTTGTAACCTGAACACACTCGATGGTTTAAATGTCTGTGTTGGAACATATGTTTGAACGTGGAAAAGAAGCACCGAAGCTTGGCCAAAGCTCTCACTTCCGATACGGCGGACTCGGTGAGCAAGTGCAATGCCAGCTGCCACTCCCCAGTGGTTGCGCAAGCAGACAGCGTGGCCGAGCAATGGTAGGCATTGACTTCGAGCTGCTGCTCTTGCCTCCCGTCGGACACTCGACCCATGCTAAGTAATAAAAAAACAGTTGCCGAGGCGCATCCAGCTAAGTACTTGGACTGCCGCCTGCCAAGCGACTGCTCGAAATCGTGACTCTCGACTCAGCTCACCACAAAACCCGTCCTGGCTCTGGCCATGCTTGGCCAGTCTCGCCAGAGCAGCTGTGGCCAAGCGGGGCGTGAAGCTGCGCCGGCTGCGCGCATCTGAGAGAAGCTGCAACGCCTCGGTCAAAAAAAGAACGTGCATGTATTACATACACAGCTACCAGGGAAGCGACCTCCCGCAAGCCGTTTGCCCTTCCATCGTGCCTCACAAGTCGAAAGTACAGAAAGAACTTTTGCACAAGCCAAACTTCGCGCGCACAGCCATGTACAGAGAAACTCGCGATCTTTGCAGAGTAGCGGCTGCGATCGGCAGGCTGGGAGAAGTTGCATGACTGCAAACAGCCGCGGCATGGGTCGTACGGTGCTACCGTCTGCCATACTCCAAGTTGTCAACTTGTCCTCTTATGTGGCATGGCAATAGGCAACAGTGATCCAAACTGGGGCTCGAGATTCTTTCACCTTGGAGCATAGCTGGGCTTGAGGGACTTCGTTCAGCAACCGAAGAGTTGGCCGAACCCGGCCTGCCCTCGCGCAGGCGGTCGCCGCCGCGTCCAAGCTGAAGGCATCGGGCAGAGCCTGCGCCTGGCGCATGTCGCCCAGCAGAGCGCAGGCGTGCCGCCAGCGCCAGGCGTGTTGCATCGCGCGGATGGCAGAGGTGTAGCCGAGCAAAACATCCGTGACATCCGTGAGATGCGTCACCAAAGCCAGAGCCACGCGCCAAGCATCGGGATCGGAACTCTTCTCACAGGCGTTGAGACAGCTGTTGTAAACCACCGAATTCGGTTTTCGCCTCATCTCTTGCATGTGGGTCAAGTGCACCATGGCAAGTCTCACCTTGGCACAGGAGATCAGCGCAGCGAAGGTGAACTCATCCGGCTGGATATCGGCCTGCAGCATCTGGGCAAACAGCTCAGCTTGCTGCCACCTTGCGAGCCTTGCAGCGCTGATCGCAGCATTGAAGGTGATGACATCTGGCAGCAGCTCCGAGTCTTTCATTTCAATCATCAGAGCCAAAGCCGGCTGCCACTGGCTGATCTTCTCGCAGGCACTCAGCGCAGTGTTCATGGTGATTGTATTCGCACGCACGGACATGGCTCTCATGTCCCTCAGCACATCTAAATGAGCGGAGGCGCGGCCCGTCTCGCAGGCATGGAGGCAGGAGTTGAAGGTCACCACATCCGCTGGAAACTCGTACAGTACATGCAGGGCAAATCGCCACTGCCCGGCGATGGCGAAACAGGCCATCGCCGCATTGAAGGCAACCACATCCAGATTGCGAAACAGTCCACCTCCGGCACCTCCACCTCCGGCACCTCCACCTCCGGCACCTCCACCTCCGGCACCTGCACCTTCCGACGCGAGCTCCGCTCCGTAGGTGGCGAGTGCAAAGAGCCAGCGGTGAGCTTTGCCGTGGGCCGAGAGGCAGCTGCTGAGGCTCACGGCGTCGAGCTGCTGCTGTCGTGCCATGGCCAGGCTCAAAGTCTCCAGGCCACGGCTCCAGGGCTGCGACGCCAGGAGCAAATTGCACCCCACGTCGCCCGAGCCGTGCGAGCCGTGCGAGTGCGTACCGTAGAAAAGTTCGGCCAGCGCCCACTTGCTGCGCAGGGCGCGCAGCGTGGCGTTGCGCGTCCAGCCGTCGCAGGGCAAAGCCCACCGCCGCAACCGCTGCAGCAGCGCCAGCGCCGCCCCCCACCGCCCAGCCCGGCCCAGCGCCGCCACGCACGCGTTGCCGTGGACCACGTTGACCTCGCGAACGAAGCGACTGCGAAACGAAGCGAAGCGAGCGACGCGACTGCTTTGCTTTGCCCTTCTCCTTCAAGTGTATTCAGGAGGGAGAATTGTGCCTCTTCGAGGCCATCTTCAAAAAGTGCGTTAGAACATGTCTGTGCCATAACGCGACTCTCCCATCTATTTGGAGATGGTGCATCGGACACATGCCTGAAAAGGGCTGCTCTCCAGCCTGCTTTTGCGGCTGATGCAAAAGGATTCTATGAACTATGAAGGTCATACTTTTGGAGCATCTCCCTTGCCGCAAATTCTGTCACATTCCCTCTCACAGACCTTGGCTCGTCCCGAACTCCTTTCAAATCGAACCACCTGGTCATGGGCTCGAAGGACTGAAACGCACACTCAGCTCAAGCCTCTGTAATTCCAACTCGCAATGGACAGTAGTCGTGGCTGTAAGCAGAAGCGATCCCTTTCTGGATTTCCCGTCCAAGCACATCAGAAGGTCTCTGGGTAGCCAAGCAAGCGGGCGACAAAGTCCACTTTGCCGTGGCGAGAGGCAGCCGCAAAGCCCCAAAACCTGTAGTTAAAAGATTGGAAGAGGCAGAACAAGGTCCTCACTAGATCCGTTCCTTCCGATCAGGCATTCCAGCCACTTGGCCCGGAATCGGTACTCTCCCAGTGAAGCAATCAGTGTCGATGTGAAGAGAAGAACTCAGAAAGTTGCCCCAGTACTCTCTGGGTCCCGATTTGGCCCGCGAAAGAATATGGCAGTTGTCCCTTGTCCAGTTTGAGAAAGCTGTTGATGTCGCCCACGAGCACTTGGCTGTTGGATCAGGCCAAGCTTCGGTCTGTGAGGTCCACACATTTCTCGTGGGCGAAGCTGCTACGCGCTACGCCACACCTCGCAGGCACACGAAAGGGCATCTCAAAAGCGCACGCCCAACAACAACAAACTAATCAAAACAAACTCACCACTGCTAATCACTAGCCTGTTCAGAGAACTCCGCGCCAAGGAAATCCTGCGTCGCGATGACGCTGAAGAGAATCTGCATGGTAGCATTTGTGAGAAGAAGCAATGTGATGGAAGTGGCAACCCCCTCGTTCAATGTCGCCAGAATGCTCCAAGCGCCGTCGGAGCAACTGACATGTCCTCTCCTCACAAAGAGGCAAAGCGGCAAAGCGGCTTGGACAATTTGCGGTGTTTTGGATGGCTTTTGGATTTGCTTTTTTGGGTATCTTTTGGTATTCGCGGCTCGGTCTGAGGCAAAGCTCCCGGACGCGATCCCCGGCCATCGGGCCCATCGGGCTCGCGCTTGGTTTCGGCAAAGCCGAGTCCGCTTCAGCTCTCGCCCGGGAATCCGCATCCACAAATTCGGCTCAAGGCGTTCGCAAGCTTCAAGGACATGGACTTGAAATTCTTGAAATGGCAGTAGGCCAAGGACTATGACAAAGTCATGAAGCTCGTCTCAAACCCTGCAAACATGGCGCTTCGACAAGCTGTGCTTTCCCACCAAATGCCCAAAATGGCTCGGCACGTCCCAACAAAGCCATAATAAGATTGCCAGTCCTTCCGTCCCTATCCCAATCCTGCCAATTCTGCCAATCCTGATGCGAGTCTGCTAGTCTGCCAGTTCTGCCTCCACCTTCTGATGCCGGAGGTCGTCCAGCAGCGCCTGCGCGGCCTAACGGCACGGCACGGCACGCGGGCAAGCCACACCGGCCGGCCAGCAACGCACCCAGCACCCAGCGCCAAGCGCCAAGCACCGGCCGGCGGAGAAAAGAAAAAAGAAGAGAAGAAGAGAAGAAAAAGAAAAGAAAGAAAAGAAGAATCTCCCGGCCTGCGCCCCGTGCTTCGCTGCTCTGAGCAGCGCAGCGGTGGCTTCCGCGGCCTCACATCGCATTCCACCCGGTTCCTTCGCTTGAGCAGACTCAAAAGACGCCAAGACGCCTGCATGAAGTCATTGGACCACAATCAACCCAGGCACCCAGGCAGAAACCAATTGCATTGAGATGCATTGAGCCAGTCTGCGAAAGTCGTTTCGATCACGTGCAACACAACATGTCCCGAAGGCCACTTTGGGGCCTTTTTCCTGAGCATACCCCATGCACCATCTATGTGTATGGACAGCAAACATATATTGTTGACAAGATGGACCCCAGCAAGCAGCGTTGCAATACTGCAGGGCTGCACGCTGGCATTCAATTCCCAAAGCACATCAGAAAGCTGCGCAGCTCCCACTGAGCGATGCTCATTCTGATACAAGACAGCGCCGGTATATCTCGCGAAAGTTGACCCGACATTCAAAGAACTTGACTTGGGCCGAAGATCAAAGAGCCGCAGCGATCAATCTGCGGGCTTGGCAAATTCGTTTCCGATGGGTGCCACTTGCTGTAGAGCCTCACTGAGATCATGCGGAAGTTGCTCCCTGACCTGAGCAAGCCAAGCAAAAAAGCATGTGAAAGCTGTTGCTTTCGTGCCTATGGGGGAAAATATGCGGATTGTATTGTTTGTGAGTTGCAAGTGAAGAATGCATTGCCCTGGATAGTTGTTTGTGTGCGTGCTCATGGTTGCAAGCCTGATTTGCTATCAAAGGATTCCAACCAGGTACCACCGCTAAATGCATCTAAAGTCCGAATTCAAGCACAGCTTTCGTTTAGCGGCATTGGCTGGATGCTTGTCTTAGATTGCATGTAGCGACCTGCCGAACGGTGGAGAACCTTGATGCACAATCAAGAAGCTAAGAACACAGGAACTAGGATTGATCTTTGCACAAGGCGCCCAGCCGAGTGCTTCACGTAGCAATTGAGTTGCTTAAATCTCGTTTCGAATGCAGGGGCAGGCGCCTCTTCCCGCTGTGCCCAGGATTCCTCCGAGAAGAAGCTGAGGCGGTAGCGGTGCAAAAAGTTTCGGGGGCACCAGTCCAGGTCTGCGCGGAAGGTGGCGGCCGCGGAGTAGCGCCCGTCGCTCACCGTGGGGTGCCCCACGTGCGACACGTGCACACGGATCTGGTGGCGGCGACCCGTCGAGATGCGGACGGAGGCCAAGCTCAGGGCGCCGCCCGCCTTCAGCGCCCCCGCCTTCAGCCCCGTCTGTGATGACAGAACCCGCGTCTTCGCGGGCTTGCCGGATGCCAGCACTCGGCTGGATGCGAACCACTCTGGGGCGTCCTCCACCCAGTGCACAGGGGCATCGATTCCCCGCGGTTTTAAGAAGCCATGACATAGGACCACGTAGTCTCTGATCAGCTCACGGCCAGCCAGCTGCAGCTGCAAATCATAGTACGCCTTGTGATCTGTGGCCACCAGGATCAGACCTGATGTGGGCACGTCCAAGCGGTGCAGGAAGCCACGCCTGTGCTTCACATCATCTATGAGCCGGTGTGGTGCGGCAAGTCGCAGAAACGAGGACATGGTTTGCACTTGTGCTTGCGCTGAGTCATCGACCTGACGGGATCGGATCTGAGTGGTTAGAGTGGCCAGAAACCGTTCAAACCGTTCCCCTTTTGACCGCGCCGCAGCGACGCCCGTGCTCGGCTCGGCTCTCGCTCGCGCGCTCGTGCCTGCCATCCCGGGGGCTTGTGCACCACCAGGCGGTCCGGGAAGTCGCGGACCACGCGCGGCGCGAGCGACGGCTCAAGGCGAGGCCTGGGAGGCCTGGGAGGCGCTTGAGGCGCTGGCGCGCGGGCCAGCACGGACCGCTTGAGGCGCTCCAACACGGAGACCGGAAGCTGCTCCGAGAAGGCGGAGGCCCACAAGACCTCAAGCAGGGCATCCAGGGCCTCGTTGCCATCAAGAACCTCCTCCTGGAGGCTGCGGAACAAATCCACATTGCGACCACCCTTGTCGAGCACCGCCAACGCCCACATCATGTTGCTCAGATTCTGCGGCTGTAGCCGCCCTCGCTCCTCATCCAGCCTTGGCACAAGCGCAAGCGGCTCGCGGGACGCGAGACGCAAGCGCGACTCTCGTATACATTCTCTCTCGCCTGCGTAGCCGATCAGCAGCAGCTGCAAGCCAGTCTGCATCGTGAACGCCTAGTGCTGCCATGGACCACCTGTGCCCAGAGTTGAGGCTGGCGCAAACACTTGCACAGAATTTAGTCAAGGCACAGGCAAGTGCCCAGTTCGTAGATGTTCGCACCAGGAAGCAGGATGCCAACAACCGCTCTCAGCGCTTGTGCCAACACAGGCAGCGGAATATCAAACATTGCCAGCTGCCCCATCTTGGCAAGTCGCCAGGCGATCTGAGCCTGGTCATTTCTGGTCAATTTTGACACGTCCTGCCAGCATTACGACAAGCACCTTTGCGGCAATTTTCAGTTACCGTCCTGCTGGACCGTAAGCATATCACCTGCCACATCTTGCTCCAGCCGGCCTAAGCATGCGCTTCAAGCAATATGGCAGCATGGCTGCGGCATGCCGGGGCACAAAGTGAGAAGAGCTGAGCACCGCAAGGAGTTGCATCCTCTGCCAACAAATGAAGGACCTGAAGCATCGAAAAAGCACCGAACCGAGTGTGTATTGTTCTCATCTGATGCAAATGTGGCGGCTCCCGCCTGCTGCCACTTCTTGCCGCGCTCGCAGGCTCGGAGAAGAGCATTGTAGCCTTGTGCGGATGCAACAACTGCGAAATGCGAAGCTCAATCATCTCAAGAGACAAAATGCAAAGCTCTGAGGACGCTGCTGATGGCATCGGGAAGCGTATGCTGTTCCATCTGGGTAAAAAGCTGCACAGCCATCTGCCACATGCTGGCCTTCTCACATGCACTCAGAGCCTGGGCAAGCGTGCAAGAGCACGCAACACTCAGAAGCAATCAAGTTGCAATTGAGCAGCCGCATTGTAGGTGATAACATCAACTTCACCAGCCTGCTCTAGCAAAGAAAGTGCTCCCTCCCACTGACCGGACTTCTCACATGCACTGATGACAGCATTGAAAGTCATGCAGCTCGGAGTAACAAGGCTGCGAGGCATCATGTCCAACAAGCAGAAAGCGTGCTGCCATTGCTTCCCCTTCTCGCAAGCACTGACTGCGGCAGTGAAGCAAACCAGATCTCGCTCAAAAGGCGTGCTGTGGAGCCAAAGCGCGCGTTGCCACCGGAAGGCCTTTCCGCAGGAGCTGATGGCAGCAGCACAGGCCACCACCGATGCGTCGGATGCAAGGCCCAGAAGGCCCAGCGCCAGACGCCAGGGCGCCGCCATGGCGTTCCCTTGGCCTGGGAGGCCTGGGAGGCCTTGGAGGCCTTGGAGGCCTTGGAGGCCTTGTGTCGCCACGGCCAGCGCCCTCTGGCGGAGCGCCGTGGCGACGGCGTGTGCCAGGGCCACGCGCCAAGGCCCGAATCGCCCGAATCGGCCGAGTCGGAACGGCGACAAGGAAAGCGCCAGGGGCCACTTGGCCGCCTTCGACAGCGGGCCAATCGAGGCCTCGCACCGCGAAGCCAGAGCATGCCGCCACTCGCAGCTGCTGACAACGCAGCGGTAAGAAACTGCATCTGGGCGGAGGCCGAAGGCCTTCATGTGGCTCAGCAATGCCAACAGGCTCCGCCATTCGGAGGAGGCAGACAAAACACAGTTCGAAGCAATGACATCTGGGAGAACGGCCAGGTGGGTCATGTGCTGCATGAGTTCAAGTGACATCATCCAGTCACCGCCCAATACGGCTGTGGCGGTGAAACGATCAGGTCGCACCAGGCTGGCCCGCATATCCCTCAAAAGAAGGCGCGCCCTCCACCACTCGAAAGAGCTGGCCAAACTGTTGAAGGAAATAACGTCCTTCTTGGTGCCTGCACAAAGACTAAGGCCTTTCTGCCATCGAGGCTGCGCCGCAATGGCAGTGTTCAAGCTCACCATGTCAGGTCGGGTTGTGCACGTTCGCATCCATGACAGAACCTGCAGAGAGTGATGCCATCGACCCGTCGACATGAGAGTGTTGAAGTGGATCACGTTCGCTCGAAGTTGCCTCTTCTGCACGACCTTCAACAGTGCCACCGCATGCCCATGGGTCTCCCTTTTCAGTGCCGACGTGACTGCTCCATCCGACAAGGGGCCCCGAGAATCAGGAACGCGCATCTAAAACGTCCATCGCGCACTCTTTGGACCTTGTGTCACAGCGAGGTCTTGTCGTGTCCATCCGGGACTTGCATGCTGACGCAGCAGTGGACCCAAACTCTCACATTGTCGCCATAGCATGCACAACACTGGAAGTCTTTAAGCAAACACAGCTGCAGTCGACACGGCACTGCAGCCCCGTGGAGTGCGCGGACAATTGGCTGAGCGTCATTTTGCGTCCGGACACTTGGGCCCGGCAGCGTGCCAAGGCGGAATCGGGCGCCTGGAAAACCTGTCGAGTTGTCGAGTACACAGTTCGTCCCGACGAGACCGGGCCTTTCCCAACTCCAGGTGCCCTTCACCTGGGATTGAGCTAGTCGGCACTTGCGCTCAAGTCTACCAGCCCTTCCCGGCCTTTGTGCTGCACAACGCCTCATGTAGATCCTGAGGTAGCTGGCTGGTCACCTGAATTCGTCAGACTTGCGAGAAAGCGCGACGCGAAAGAAAGCGCGACAGCGAAGCCCTTGCCTCACATTGGCCTTGTGGCGCAGAGGCCCGGAAGGCCAAGAAATGCCTCTCGCATCGGGCGTAACGAGTGCGTCGAATCTTGACGCATGCGCGCATCGCCTGTGCAAGAAGTTGCGGCGGCACCAGGACCGGTCCGCCTGGAAAGTGGCGCCGGATGCGTAGATTCCTGGAGCCAAGAAAAGTTCAAAGTCGACTTGAACAGTTCACAGGCAACATAAGTGGCAAAGGAATTGAACTGACAGACTGATCTGGGTGCGTGACCATCGGTAGCGGTAGGATGTCCAACATGGGCCATGTGCAATCGGATTTGATGCTTGCGCCCAGTGGAAATGCGGACGAGGACCAGGCACAGCGCATTTGGCGCCCGGTGCGCGTGCGCCAGGAGCTTCAGCTCCGTCCGCGAGTTGGCGCCGGGCGTCACGCGGCTGGGAGCGTCGCGGTGCAGATCCGAGGTCACGGAGGCGCGGATGGCGCGGCTGGCCCGACTCGGACAACTCGGACTCGAAGGCAGCCAGCCGTGGCAGAGCACGATGTAGTCCCGGGTGAGCTGCCCGGTGGCCAGCTGGAACTGCAGGTCGTAGAAGGCTTGGACGCTCGTGGCCACCAGCAGCAGCCCCGAGCTGGGCACGTCCAAGCGGTGAAGGAAGCCCCGCTGCGGCGGCTCCATCCGCGGATGAAGCGCCCGCACAAACGAGGACAAAGGGAAAGCCATCGCCTCCCCGCACTCGTCCACCTGCCCAAAGTGCAAACATTGCAAAACGCGAAGCAAATTGCAAAATTGCACATTTCCACATTTCACGTTGCGCCCGGACTCTTTCCTTTGCCTGCCATCCCGGCGGCTTGTACACGACGAGTCCTGAGGCGACTTGGCTCAGAAATTGGCCCAAGGCTTTCTTCAGCCGAGCTTCGATCCGGCAGCTGGCGCGCCACCGTGGGCTCCATGCCCCCCGTGCCCCACGCGCCCGGGATGGATCCCGATCCCGAGTTCGCCACCAGGGGCGCCAGAGCCGGGGCCGGCAGCGCGCGCATCACCGCGGCCCAGACGCTCAGCGAGCGAGAGCTGGAGCTCGAAGCCGCGGATCCCGTCGCAAATGTCGCGAAGTTGGAGGCCCAGAGCAGCTCCAGCACGGAGCTCGCGGAGCTCAGACCCGAGAGAGACCCGCTCTCGATTCGCGCACCCAGCTCTCGTCGAAGGATCTGGACATCGTGGCCACTTATGGCCAGGGACCAGGCCAGGTTGGCCAGACTCCGCAAAGGCAGGAGCTTCGCCTGCTTGAGCTGACTCAAACGCATTACGTTCACTCGACTTCTTTGCCGCTGCTAACTTTTTCGGGTTTTTTTTCACACTACGCCTCTCCGTTCTGCAGCCTGGCGCGTATCTCCCGCAGCAGCTCCCGATCTGTTGCTCCGGCCACGGCCACTGCCCACGCCAAGGTGCTCAGCTCCTCACGTGGCAAGCGTTTCAATTTCGATCCCAATTTCAATTTCCGTTTCTTTCCTCTTCCGTTTCCCATTTTCCCTTTTCTTTCGTTCTTTCTTGCTTGCGTTTCCTTTCTCTTTTCGCGTTTCTTCGTTTCTCCGTTTCGTCTCCTGCAGCGTGGACTCGGGGAGCTGCTGCGGCGCGGCCCCGGGTTCGGGCGCGGCTCCCAGGCGCGCACGCCGGCCCCGCCTCCAGGCCCGCTGGGCCTGGGCCTGGGGCCCCTGCCTGACGAGTCTTCGAGCTTTCAAGTCTTCGAGTCTTAACGTCTTCGAACTCGTTTTCGAGTTTTCGGGTTCGTTTTCAAAAAAAAACAAGACAAATCATTTCCCATCCCGGCCCGAGAACTCGGAAAGTGCCCCAGCTCTTGCCTCGCGGATTCCAGATCCAAGAGCATCAGCGCAATCTGCCACCTGAATCGTATCACTCAGCCCGAACACGTATCCCACGGCGAAACATCATTTTGCAATCGAAGCACTGGCCGGCTTTCTCTGCCGCGGTTACCACCTTTCTCTGCATGTTGAGCACACGTGGCACTGCACTGCTCTCTCTGCGGCCAGGTGTCTGAGTTGATGGCGACGTCATTTGGCTCCACCACGTACTGCGTCATCCGTCCTTTCTGGCTGCTGGTTTCATCAAATATCACTTCAAGCATTCCGAGATGCAGCGGTCTTAGGCAAGGCTCTGAAACAGCTCGCTGAGCTCTGCCAAGCCTGGCCCTTTTCACACGCACCGAGGGCTGCACTGACAGTAATCTCCTGACCAGCGCATCAGTCGGGGCTCTTCGCAGTGTCTTTACGCTTGGCAGCAACTTGCAACTCATGCGCGTCGCAGAAAGTCACGTGCTGCCAAGTCACATTTCCTGCGACAAACCGCTCGCCTGAGCTCCCTTGAAAGCAACCGAATCGGGAGAAGCTTCAAAGCATGCATGCCAAGACGCCTATGAGTGTGAAGGAGTCTCTCCAGCGCGCATCTTTTGCCAGCGTTTTGACAGCGTTGGAATAGGTGATGCCGTTTGGCTGCAGAGAAGCTTCGCGGCATCCCAGCAGTGCCAGTGCTGGGCGCCACGAGCACTCGGCCAGGACGATGTTCCTCTGGGCCAGGTCCGGGCAGCTTCCGGATGCTGACGCGCCCAAGGCCAGCGCCAGGCCCCAGCTCGCGGAGGCAGCGGCCGCCATGCCCGACCCGAAGCTCACGGCATCCGGCCTCGATCCGACCTCACCTCGCAAGCCTCTCAAGTCGACCAGCGAACGCCTATCTCGAATGCCGAAGCGAATTCGAATCTCGAATTCCGGGGCACTCGAGAGAAACCGTCAGCTGCCGGAAGCAGTCCAGCGCACAGCGCCAGTCCCCGGTGCCAATCGCGCTGATCGCACTATTGCAGCCTGAAGCACATCGGGCATGCGTGCGTGTTTGCGCCTGAGTGCTTTTGAATGCACGTTCTGAAGCACGGGACATACTGTGTTGATCTGCAGCTTGCTTGACACCATCCCATGCCACAGCGAGGCGGCATGTTGCCACTGGCTTGCGTCTTCGCAAGCACTGATGGCCTCGAGTCACTGCCCCAAGTCCCCGATGTGCCCTAACCTAACATCACATGATGATATGACTTGCTGCGGGTGCAAAGACTAGGCTCCCCTGCCGTGCAGTAGCTCACCACGTCCTGGGCTACGAAGCGTGGCGATGCAACACAAGCGGGCTCTTGACACTGAGACTCAAACAGGTTTAGGGGAGTTGGGGGAGTGGGGCATGCGCTGCGTCTGACTCTTGGCCAGGCAACTTTTGAATTAAGAGACGCCCTACAACTTCGGCAAAGAGTCAGCGCGCAAGCTCTTCTCGGACATGCCCTGGACTAGTTGCAGCACCCTCTGCCACCCACAGCCGGCCATGACCTCAACACATCCGAACGTATGCAACGCACCTATGCGTTCGGCACAGGCCCTGAGGAGGAGTCAGAATTCATTGTGACGGTGTTCGGGAGCACTTGGTTAGCTTCCATCTCAGCGAGCAAGTGGAGGGCCAAGTCCCACTCGCAGGCTCTAATGCAGGTGCTGTAGCTAATGCAGTTGGGCTCCACCTGACTCTCACGACTCTCAGACTCTCCTCTGCAGGTCTCGGGTCAGTCTCGGAACGGTTTTCGGCTCCGTGCGATAGCCTGAAAGCGCATGGTGGCCAAAAGTTGGCAGGCCGCCTCCCAAAGACTGGCTCTGCTGCATGCATCCATCGCCTCAGCTTGTCTTGTCGTTTCTGGCTTTTGGCTAAGGTGACACGAGGTTCTTCACAACACATCTCGCCAGGCAGCTGCGTTGAAGCAAATGGTGTCCGCTCTAATTCTTCCGCTCTGCATCCGTGCCAGCAAATCGAGGGCCTGTTCAGCGACAGACAGCCGACAGCCGACGCGTGTAATGCGTGCCGAATCATCCAAGCCGCTGCTTCCCATTGCAATCCACGACCGCAGGCAGTCAGCGCAGCGCTGTAGGTGATGTGATCCAAGCGATCCAACTGATCAAAGGGACCCAAGTTCGCCTGGAACAGGTCCAGCGCGGCAGCCCACTTTGCCGACCTCAGGAAATCTCTTGCCCAGCAACCAAAGGCTATGGGATATGAGTTAGAGGACACCTTGCCCATCTTTTTTAGGTATCCTAGCGTGCCCCCCTCCCTACGCAAGAACAGCATTTTTCAACCATTTTTTACTATTCAAATCGTCATCCTTATTCATTATGCATATTTCCACTCAAATCATTTCATAACAGTCTCAACCTCAAAATCCATCAAAAAAGTCACATTTTTCTCATTTCTATTCCATCATTCTTGTCATTGTTAGGATGTTTGAGTGGAAATAGGAGTATAGGGTGGTTCATAGGATATGGTTATTGGATGGTAGAGAAGATAGGCAAGGTTAAGTTCATTCATTAAAAAAATCAAAAAATATTGTTCAAAAAATAATATTTTCAAAAAATAATATTTTCAAAAAAATCTCAAAACAACATTTTTCAATAAATAATGTTTCAAAAACATTTTTCAAAAAATAAATTTTCAACAAATAAATTTTCAAAAAATAATATTTTCAAAAAATAAATTTTCAATAAATAAATTTTCAAAAATAAATTGTTCAAAAAATAGTTTTTCAAAAAATAACATTTTAAAAATATTATTCCACAAATTATGACAAATTATCTTACAATATTTTTATCAAAAATTTTGTAGAAATATTATGGGCAAGGTTATGTTCATTCGTTTTTTATAATTATTCAAATCTTCTTTTAAACATTCTATATTTATACAATATGTTAAAATCAACTGCATCTAATTTTTCTTTGCTACAAACCCATTTGTTGCCATTCTTTTTTATTTCGATTAACCATTCAAATTCTCTAAAGCTTAAATACCACAAATTGGATGTAATTTGACTGTATGAATAGTTTCCAGCATTTCTAATTATTCGTTGGTTGTTGGTTTGTTCTATATATTTTATCATTGCATGTTTTAATGGGATGTAATTTTTCGTTTCAATATTGCTTATCATTTTATGATGTTCTGTAATTTCCTTTTCTAGCCGTTTTTCAGTTACAAATCCGTAACTGTCATCTTCTTCTTCTGTTTTATTATCATTATCACTCAAAAACTCATCAATTATTTTAGATTCCTGTTGTTCACTATAAGTTAAGAATTCATTGATAATTTCTTCCTGTTCAACCTCTGTAAATACAACCATTTGTATGATAATATATATAATTAATATTTCTTTAAATACTTTTTACAAGAATTTTAATTTATTAATACATTAAAATTAAATTAGGTTGTGTGGATAAAATTTTATAATTTAAGTTCAGGATAATAATTCAATTGATGACCATCAAATTGTGTATATATCGTATCTCTTTCATACATCTTTTTAAAAATAATATTAATATCTCTCACGGTATTTTTCACATTAAACCTTTTTTCTTCAATATATGTTTTAATGTCTTCTTTTACATCAAACCCTTCCCTAAAATGACAAGTCAACATCCACAATATAGCTTTAATCATTTCATATTTTTCTTACTGATTTTCAGAAATATTCTAACATAACTATAAGGTGGTATTTTATACACAGTTAAAAATATCAAAATGGCATCTTCAACATTTCTTTCATTAAACCTTTTAATATCCAAATTACATTCGATTGCTTCTTGGTAATATCTCCAATTTCTACAAAATTTACATAAATTTTCTTTACCTAAAGCATAATCAATAATATTATGTACTATTCCATTAGGTAAATTCAATTTGTATAATTTCATATTTTCTTTTTTGAAGTGGCAACAGTCGTAGCATTTCTTATTGATATAATTATTGATTTCGGTTTCAACCATTTCTATTATAATATATATAGTTTTTATTTCTTTAAATACTTTTTACAAGACATATTAAACTATTAGTTAAATTATTATCATTTACAACTACAATTGCACCTAACACAGTAAGGAATAATATTATTCAGTTCGTGCGACAACTCGTTTGATTTACGTTGCGCTGTCAGATTTGTCATTAAATTACCATTTTTCATATCCATAGAAAAACCGCATCCGCAGTAATTGCATTGATTATTTATATTGTCTAAAAACCACTGTGTATTTACATATCCTTCTTTAGGTATGGTTCTTTTTGCTTTCCTGTCCTGTTCCTTGTAGTTTAATATTTTTCTTTCAAAATAACTTAAAATGCATTTTTGATTAAATCCATCATCAATATCTTTCGTATATTTATGAAATTTGACTTTGTTTAAATCTCTACACCTTGTAATTGCTGTCCATATCCATTCTCGATAATCCTTTACCAAAAAATGATTATAATCAAAAATTGATATGGTATCATCAATGCTACTGCCTTGGGCAGAATGACAAGTTGAGCAATATGCAAATATAAAACTGCTTATTATTTTAGCAACTTCTACTGGTTGTAAAATTTCGGTTTTGACATTCTTTAATGTAAATATTCCATCGCTTCCAATATGAACTATTCTATAATTGAAATTTACATTAAACACTGCTGTTTTAGTTTTAGTATATTCCCTACATGTTAAAAATTCGCCTACTTCGTATTCATCTTTTCTATTTTCTAATTTTCTAATTTCATTTGATACATTTTTACAAGTTGAATTTAAAAATGCTATGTTGTTGTTAGAACTGCCTATGTCAGTTGTATATTCGAAATATTTTTCAATAACTTTCATAATAGGTAATTTATTTTCAAAAATATCAAATTTAATATTTCTTAGTTTATCCTTATCTTCCTGTGTGTTAAGTCTCTTACATTCTTTTAACAAAATATTATATTCAAAAATGTTATCTATAATATTATCAGTATATACTTCATAGTCTCGAGTATTTGTTATCTCTTGAACTGGCTTTAATTGCTTGGTGTCTCCTGTTGCTATTATAATTTTGTTGTGCTTATTCTGCTCTACAAGTTGTTTTATTCTCCAATATGTATTCAAATTACTGAAATAAATTTCATCAAATACGATTACATCAAATTCTGCAAAATCAAATGGTTCTAATTTTGCATCGCCGTAGTTTATTCCCAAAAACTTATTCATAGTCATTGCTTCACCTTCAAATGCCTGTAATAATTTATTAGTAGGACAAATAAATATTACCTTATATTTTTTATCAACCATTTTTTGACATATCTATGATTTTCCTGTGCCCGGTAGTTCGCCTCTGATCATAATAGGGTTATTCTGTTTAACAATCTCAATAATGTTATCAGTGTCGTATTCATCTTTAATATCAATAGTTTTACTTTCAAGAACTGGTATTTTTATTAGATCATTCTTAGCAACTTCATATTTTACCGTAGGAAAAATAATTTCCTCGCCTTGTTTTGAAACCTTCCAACCTCCTATTTCATTATGAAATTCTAATAATTGCTTTGCTTTCTCTACATTGTATGAATCAATTACAAAAGCATCGGTTTTTACACTATATACATGAATATTATTGATTCTTAATTTGTAAAAATCTTGGTTCATTTTAAATTTATGATGTTGCAAGAGTAGTTCTTTAATATATCTATAGCCGTTTCTCAATACTGCTTTATCCTTCAAATTTAATATATAATATGATGCTTTTATATCTCCTTCTTCTTCACCCCCTTCGTGGCGAAGCTGTGACAACTTATGAATTTTGCCTCCGTATTCTGTTTGATAATGGATTGCTTCATCAATACTCTTAAATAAAATGCTTTGATGAGCGGTAGCACCTCCTTTTTCTAATAATCCAAAATTGACATTTCCTATTAATTTTTTACTCAGTTTATCTTCATCTTCATCATCTTCATCTATAACAGTTTTCCAAAGTTCATTAACCATATCTTTATAATTTGTTTTATGAATAAATGAAGGTTGTTTATAATATAATACTTTAATATTATGTTGATTAATAAACTTTTTCAAAAACTTAGCATAAACTAAGTTATATTTTTTATTAAACATTAAGCCCGCTGTATCCCCCCGTAACGTTTTTGTCGTTATGAATTCGTCAACTTCTTCTTTTGATTTAAATTTTAAACGTTCAACCAAAAGATGGTTAATGTTTTTCATGCAACATTCACCTGGTACGCCTGGATATTTAACTTCAATATAGTATAATGTTAGATCGTGGAGTTCATCAACTTTAATTGCATCATTGTATTCTTTCCAATTGTCAAACTGATTAAAAACTGGTATTTCAGTAATATCTATGAAACCTTTTGTAAATGCCTTATTTTCATCGATTTCAGTTTTACGCATTAAATTAAATTTATCCCATAATAATCCCGAAGGTGCTACAGTCCTTGTTTCGTTTAATATTTTTATATCAATGTCATTATAAAAAGATTTGTGAGACAAAATAAATAGAGATTAATTAAAATTAAACATTGCTTTATTCATATTGTTGTACGTAGTTTCATTACTTACTGCAATCCAACCATCGCTAGATGATTTAATTAAATTTTGAGTCTTTATGATATATGTTATCTTGTTAAATTTGACTCTAATTTCATCAATAATACCTGAGTATTTAATTCTGGGTTCATATCCAATAGTCATCAACTGGAAAAATATTTCTGCCATATTTATATTTTCAGGCACTAAATATACTTCCTTTGTTTTATCATCAGTTTTAATTTTAAGTATATCATCTATACATTTAATCATTTTGTATTGCGGTGGTTCCTCTCTTTCATTTATATAAT